TAGCACATTAAATACAGCAGAGCGCATCTAGATAAGAGCCTTCGGACTAACTGAAGAAATTAAGCATCTTTACATCTAATACTTTAGATTCAAACAGATCCTCACATCCTAACGCCATGGTTTCCAGTTGTACAGGAGATCCTAATGCCATCTAACAACTTATGCTGCAGATATAATGCTTGAAACGGATTACATAACAACAGGGCATTTGGTCTAGTGGTATGATTCTCGCTTTGGGTGCGAGAGGTCCCGAGTTCGATTTTCGGAATGCCCCACTGACTTTTTCTAAAGTAGACATTCTAAAGCCAGATGAAATTACTGAGATCTTTCACAGATCTCGTTCAACTACTGAGGGCCATATATCCTCCCCCTCTCACTTCACAGAGTACATGTCAAATACAAAAAAACTCTATAATGTTTCGTTACTGAGAAATGGAAGAGAAAAATTTACCTCTGTTTCACATCGAATCAGTAAATCATTTTACCCAGTAATAGGGAGGACCAACTCGTTTTCACAAAAATGAGCTGCAGAAACAGAAAAAGAACTGTAAGCATTTCAGAAAAACAGATAAAGGGAGGCAACCATTTTCTTAGAGAAGTGAGAGAATGCAAATTGAAGGCACTAACTGAACAACATTACAACAGGGCATTTGGTCTAGTGGTATGATTCTCGCTTTGGGTGCGAGAGGTCCCGAGTTCGATTCTCGGAATGCCCCATTGACTTTTTTAAGCAGATGATAAAAACCACAGCTGACAGTTTTTCTAAGACAACATTCAGCAAACTCAACCTTATAAATCATCAAAGTTCATAGATAATCCCCCATTACTATAAACAGCTGAAGGTCGACTAATAGAAATAGAGCCAACACGTAGCTTTGTTCTTAGTTTTTTATTAACAAGCCATCAAATAGAGGACACTTACGATTGCTGTAAGCTGCCGGGATCTCCATGAATGAAGAGCCAGAATAGCAAAAGGACCGAGTTCCTGCCTTTACAACAAGTCTACAGTGGGACTTGTTTAGATAGATTCTTCCAAAATTCATGCATGCAGAATGGAAGCCAGTCACAAAACAAACAGAAAACTGCCAAACGAAGAACCAGATAATCCAAAACCATGCAATAACAGGATAAGAGGTTTCAACACTAAGCAATGGTGGTCCTGGGTTAACCTACTAGGCAATAAGTAAATCTAACTGAATGTACCACTGAAACACAACAAATTAAGTCCAGAGATATCAATTTAACTGATGCGTGAATCTAAAACGATGGCTATCAACATGATTAACAAATAATCATAAGGCTCATAATAAAATTTTGCTTTAAAATTTGTTCAGGATACATATATATTTAGCACACGTTCTAAAATGGAAAGTGAGCATATGAATGTGAATTTGAGTTGTCCTCCAAATCCACGATTGAGGATAAAGCCCGTCTATAATCACAACCAGCCAACTGTTCTCTGAATCACAATTGAACATCCCATGCAACAACTCAGAAATGAAACCTAGACAAAAGTTAAAAAATAATTATATCTAATATGAGAATGCAGACTGACCTAGATCATGACGAGATGGAAACACCACCAATTATCTCCTGATAAACAGAAGATTCATGGAAACTTGTCACGGGATGTCACATGAACTGGAGTTGAACTTCTGCGTCTGCATACGTATAAGCAAGTAGCCTAGTTCTGCATTCACTGGTACATAATTAGTCGTATGGAGTATTATTGTCTTCTTGTTGATCTTCTAGCGGAGAAGACCAATCTAGGAAAACATCATTCGGAAAAGTATCTTCATTAAGGCATGCAAGTATTGTTTTCTACCAGTTTAGGGTACTTAAACTTAGGGCACTGCTCGATGAAAGCAGGTGGTCTTTGATAAGTCACAGATGCAGCTCTGATCAAAATCCCGGCGGTTAAACCCCATATCATATAATCTTTGTCTCCTGTTTTGTAGTCAAAGTAGTGAATCAAATACTTTTCGCCCATCCATTCTCTCTCTTCAGATCTCCGGTTCTCATCCTAGACAAAAAAAAAAAGTTTTAACATTGGTGCTTCAGAAGGAACAACACACATTGACATAAAGCTTTAAGAAACTTGGTAAGACAACGAGAGGAACCTTAAGAAACATTTCCAAGGGTGCATCAAACACAGCTTCCACTTCCGCAGGATTTGGTGTCGGATTGAATGCCTTTTTTTCCCTCAAGATTCCTATCACAGGAATTACTCTAAGGAGATGCTGTAAGACAATGACGCAGCTGTGAGGAAAGCATCGACCAGAAATGGAGAATTATGCATCTCTCACTTCACAAACGAACAAAAAATCTACGGAATTAACAAGTCCCCTACTGAAAATTGAAAAACATTCAGGATAAAACTAGACAACTTTCAACTGGCTCTCTGCTACTATGATGTAATACAGCTAAGATGGATGTTCAAAAATCAATGCTAAAAAGAGCCACTGGCCCACTGCTATGAGCATGAAGAACATGCATCACCAATAAGACAAGGAGAGTAGGGTGATACCTTAGAGAGAAATGGTTCGAGAGAAGTGACAACATCAACAAGCTTAGGATCCAATCCAATCTCTTCCTCGGCCTCTCTGGTTGCAGTCATCCCATCATCTTTATCATCTTCCTCCGCTTTACCACCTGGCAGTGAAACTTCTCCTGCAACCAACAACACCCTTAAAACGCTAAGCAGATAGCAACCACGTCAAAGTTAGACCAAACACACTCTGTTTTTCAAATCTCAATGCAACAACACTCTCTACAACTTTTCTGCATCGAAGTGACCAAAATCAGGGAGCTTTCAAAGACGAAATCTTCTAAAGTCTCTGCTACAAACAGTAAAATCCCTTGTGATCTTATGTGATTTGGGGCAGCGAAGAAATAATTTATCAATCGAGTCCTACTCAAATAAAACCAAAACGGAGCAGAAAGCACAAACCCGAGTGAGTAGACAATCTGGAAGACCTCTTAGTGAGGATAACGCGCAAATCCCCATCGTCTCCTTCGAAGATACAGATCAAAACAGCGGCTCTCTTAGGTTTGAACCTCTCAGGGTCTTTGGAATCCGGAGCCATAGATTCCTGAAATCCAACCTGAGAAACCACTTTCCCGGCGGTCTCCTGATCTGCTTGCGTCTCCTCGGCGTCATCGAACGATGAAGAAGGCGGCGGTTTGTATCGGCGCAGTTGATGGGCCAAGGCGGCGAGTCGAGAAGACCCACCGAAAGAGGAGGAAGTCGTCGCCGCCACCACCGCAGGCTCCATGGAATTGCAGAGAAAGGTTGTGCGTGCAAGAGAGGGAAGAAGCCTGCGATGGAGTAAAAACATCAAAATCCGATTGCGGAAATGGATTCTGTGTGGCAAAATCCAATCATAGAAGAAGAAAGATCCTAAACAATCAATTAATTGGAGAAAATAGGCCAGTGACGTACTCTTGTGAGGTCACGTGTTTCTCGTCTTATTCTTTTTCGCTCCTCTTTCGCTCGTGTGGAAAAGTAACGAGCTTTATTGTATGACTTGTTTTCTGGCTTGGTCACTTGTATAAAAGCTAGCCATCAGTCTTTGAAACTTTCGCTTTTTAAATAATTGCAAATCCAAGCCAAAAGAAAAGAAAAAAAAAAGCTTATGTTTGTGTTTCTAGCTAAATTATGATTTGAAAATAAAAAAAATCGTAATTATTGTTGTGTTTTCTGATATAGTACTAGTTAAGCTTAGAAATTTGTTAACAAAACACACAATAATAAGTTTTTGAAAAAGGCATTGTCATGTAGCTAGGTTTAGGTTATAGATCAATTCTCTTCGAACCTCGGCTATTTTCACCCTAAAAAAAAAACTAGCCATATACTAGAAACTCAAATCACTAGCTTGATTTATGTTAAAAAAAATTGCCAACTACACGAAAATACGCCACGGCTTGATCAAACATACAGACAAGTTTAATGTATAACTACACAAACTATATGATTAGTATGAGAACATGTATCAAGTATATGTGTAGTTAACCATATATTATTTCATGTTATCATGGTAATCATATTGGTTGTGTAGTTAAACATAAAGTAAATAAATATTTGATTATGTTGTGGCATTTTCTTTGCGTAGCTAACAATCTCTTTTCCTAAAAGAACAAAACAATCAACCATGCATAGGTTGGATCATCAATGAGTTAACTTCAATCAGTTAAATGATTTTCTTTCTTAAAGGTGTAACCACTTCTCTTCCTATCCTATTAGGCTATTACAGTCTAGTTTAGATTGGAATCCGGTTAAATTTAGTTCAGTTTTTTTAGTTATGTGCATTAGGTAACTTTTACTGAAAATCATCTTCTACTTATATAATTTGTTAGCGTAGCTTATTGTAAACTAATATACGAATATAATTGGAACTGGTAAACCACCGTCTACAAAATTCAACCTAAGTAACTGAAGGGTTGGCACGATCAAATGGACTTTTTTTCCTTATATAAAAAACCAGACTAGTGAGAGATTACTGTAATATTATATTTTATATATATATATATATATATTAAGCATAATAATACTATAATAGAATCCTTCAAAAAAACATTATCCCTGATCAAACTTTTGAGAAAGTAATTTATTCCATTACTCCTGCTGTTCGTGGCTCATAAACATATGAATCGTTGGTTTAAAATAGCTAGGAAAGTGGCGTTTACGTGTTAAGTAGAATGTGATCCATTGCCCACCTATAATCACGAAAAGGAACTGCAACAGTCTTTGAACCTTTAAACTCAAACCAAACCTATTTATTGTCTCCGAAAATTTGTCCTTTTTCAAATTACATTTTAGTAGTTTATAGATAACTTCTATCGGACTATTTCTTGTTGTGATTGAGTTCCTAATTATTTACCTTTTTTGTTCATTGGCGTTTTCTACGAGCAGTTGTTCTGACCAAAGAAAAAGCAAACAGACCATCATAATAATAATTGAATCAGACCAAATTAATTTTAGAGAGTTATAGAACAAAAGAATGGGAGAAAAGGAAGAGAAGAAAGAGAAAGGCGAGGAAATCATCAGCGCTGTGTACAAGGTTCACCTTCACTGCCGGAAATGTGCATGCGACATCAAAAAGCCTCTCCTTCGATTCCAAGGTTAGGCTTCATTGTCTAAACGATGTCCCCAAGTTTAGCAGTCGATATATATAAATAGAAAGTAGTAGTTGAACGAGTATAGAGAAGAGTTAAGTAATGATAGTCTCATGAGTCTTTGTTCGTGGGTCTCAACTTTGAGCCTTGGATGTGGTGAAGTATTGAGTTATTAACATTTGTTTTGTAGTTTCTACTGCATGTCCTTTAGGTTTTTTTGTTTCTTTTTCTTAAAATCGCTTTTTAGGTTTGGTCCTAAATCCAAACTGTTCTAGAGAATATTTGCATGGCGGTTTTATGTTAAAGTGGTCGATACAAAATTATCCATAGGGAAAGTAGACCGTGAAACTTTAGTTGATCGACCTCAACCAACAAAAGGACAGTTTTTAATGGGTAAAACACCAATACACTGTCATATATTTATTTTTGTTATTCTTGAGACTGTTTGTTGATTTAATCACAATCGATGTCTTAATCTTATCGTTTGGAGGATTGATAGTGGTCTAGTAACATTTTAATTAATAATAATATTTTAGGGGTTCATGGTGTTGAGTTTGATTTGGAGAAGAATGAAATCAAAGTAAAAGGGAAAATAGAAGTCGTGAAGATTCACAAGCTAATCGAGAAATGGAGCAAGAAAAAAGTTGAACTCATCTCTCCCAAAGCCTCTGAGGTCAAGAAAACTACCACTACAACAACTACAACTACTTCTGTGGTAGAGAAAAAAACTACAGAGATCAAAAAGGTAATTTCGCTTCCATCATCGATCGCATGCCATATACCATGCATGCATGTGAATGACATTACGATCGTTTTCGTTTAATTATCCCCCAGGATGTTATTCGCACGACAGTACTAAAGGTACACATTCATTGCGCAAAGTGTGACAAAGATCTTCAGGCCAAACTCTTGAAGCACAAAGGTAAGATCGGGTTCGATATAATTTATAAAAATAAGTTTGAAATGAAGGAGAAAACTTGTAAATAAATTTCATCATCTTAAAGATCACATTATAGTTTTGTATATCGATTAATTTATTCTATTTGTTAATTTGGCAGCTATTCACATTGTGAAAACCGATACAAAGGCGCAAACACTAACGGTACAAGGGACGATAGAATCCGCAAAACTTTTAACCTATATAAGGAAGAAAGTTCACAAGCACGCAGAGATCATAAGCTCAAAGACAGAAGAAGAAAAAAAGAAGGAAGAAGAGGAGAAGAAGAAGAAAGAAGAAGAGAAGAAGAAGAAAGAAGAAGAGGAGAAGAAGAAGAAAGTAGAGGTAAAAGTAGAAGTGACCAAAACGACTACTCAAGTTGTGGAGTTTAAAGAGAAAGTAAAAGTTGAGGGCCAGAAAGATAAAGATGGAAACATACCTTACTTCGTCCACTACGTCTACGCTCCACAGTTGTTTAGTGATGAAAACCCTAATGCTTGTTGCATTGCCTAGTTAGTGTTTTTTTTCTTCATTTGTCCATTTCTATACATTAAAACATCTATAAAGTAATAACGTTGGGACCATAATGTTTTATTACTTTAACAAGATATTAATTTAACGAGTGATAATTAGAACAAGAACTTAGTTTGGAACTGAAAAATTCTATTAATTTATGGAGATATTACTTTATTGAGTTTTACTTTATATGTGTTGTATTGTATTTGTATATAGCATGTTTATTAACAAATTTGGGCTTCCATTTTAACTAGTATTTCAGCTTTTGGATTTTCTGTTAATTAGAAAACATAAACACTTAATATAAATCAAATCTTGAAAGAGTCAATGGTACTGGTGAGAGCTGGAAAGAGTTCATTACATAAAGATGAGATTTTTGTGTGATTAACTGATTATCCCAAATCTACAGTAAATGCGTTATATTTCTAATTTATTTTCTCTATTTCTGAAAGATCTTTTGTCTTATATTCGTGTTCTTAGTTGGTAGATCAGATATGGTCAGCCCAAAATTAAATACTAGGCTACATTGATGCGTAATCTTTAAGCTTCCCTGTAAGAGATATTCTTTCGTATTTTGAGAGATAAACTATTTACTTACTTCAAAATGGTTAATGTTATATGACATAAAAGTATTACGTACTAATTAACCACCCGGAAGATTTGTTTCTTCTTTTTTTTTTAACTCATTTGTTAATACATCAAAACTTTTCCAGTATGTACTTCCCATATTAGTTTTGTTTTATTTTTGTATGAATTCAACATCTTTCTGTTCGCTGCATTTTTCTAGGCCTTTTAAAAATAGATATTACATAGAATTACGTTCTTAGACATTTGACGTAATTTTCTGCTTTTCATGTTATATATTGTACCAATTATGGAGTCCAAAATATTTTTGACTTGTAGCTGTAATCACAAATATTAACTTGTACATTCACGACACCAGTATTTGTATGAAATCTATTTTGTATGGTGAAGATATTTAACTTCTAGTATTACATCCCTTGTAATAATAAGAAAAAGGGAACAAGTTACAACCATATACCTTACAACAACAAACACAGATACTTTGCCAGTAATCAAACAAAAAAATTAGTCTAAGCAGCTGACGTATAAATGTGTATGGGAAGCATGCCAATGTGATAATAATCGAAAACCAAAAAAAAAAGTGAAGATAATCTTCTGTCGAATACAGAAAGTAACTATAAATTCTACGTAACTTTATTTTTTCAGTCTTTACCTGAGATTACTAACGTGTTGCAAGAAAATCGATATTATACTGTATTTCAATAGATATATAACTCATGGAAACTATCTCAAGTGGGATTTAAATTCAAATATAAATATATCGAGGAAATCCCCCAAAATTCGAATTTATAAAAACGATTTCTGATGATCTTCAGGTTCCCGAAGTGGAATTTTTTGGGAAATATAAATATATTAAGGAAGTCTCCCAATTTTAATTTATATTAAAAAAAAACATTTATAATGATCATCAGAAACAAGTTATTTTCTCCACTTAAATTTGCAATATATAAGCCCCTACAACTTTACAAAATGATCGGATGAACCCATTTATTCTACATTTGACTAGATTGATCCATTCACATTAATATTCATAAAATTGAAACACACATTTACCCGTGATCCCAACAACTTATACAGTATACCATAACCTATATTCCCTATTATCAAATATCAATCGTTAATCCTAGACTTATAGTTCACAGTCGTCATATCCAGCACAATTCTTTACTCAATGAAGGAGAAAACATGTTATAACGTTGCTACAATTTCATGTTACGAAGATATATGGTAATTTGAATTTAAGCATAATTGGGGGTTTATCCGGTAATTTCTAAGTTCTTTCTTGAAATGGAGAATTTTTTTTTTTTTTTAATTTACTCCAATGAAAACAAAGCACTGAAGAAAGCATACAACTATTTCCAAGAGAAAATCACGGCAATAAATGTGGATTCATCATAATCTCTCTCTCCAGGTGTTCATAACAAAGAGTGAGAGAGAGATCTTAAGAAAGCTAAAAACATGGTGTTTGAAAATTCCTTAAATCCCTAGAACTTTTCTCACTACTAAAGAACCGCCGATTTCTTCTCAGATTTACTTCCTTTCAATCTCTCCGACTTTTAATGATTTTTATTTCTTTCTCCTTTTGCCACATCTTAAAACATCTCCACAAATTTTTATTTTCCTGTATATAAACTGTTCACATTTCACAATCAATCATTTCTCTTCTGTGTATGAATCATAAAAGTGATCAGTAAGAGAGAAACAATGTGTAGTAAGACGAGCAGTGAAAGATATGGTGGAGATGATAATTACACTGGTTTGTCTCCCAAGAAACAGAAACACAACAATGGAAGAAGAAGAGTCCCACGAAGAGGTCCTGGCGTCGCAGAACTCGAGAAGATCCGTCTCGAGGAACAACAACACAACTCTTCCGCCGCACCACTTGCATCTCCCCCGCTTCCTCCGACGCCGGAAAAATCTTCTACCACCATTGACAGAACCGGTCCGGTTTACCCGTTCTCCTCTTATTTCTCAACCGGATCTTTCCCTAATGATTTGATCCCTCCGGCTCCGGTTTTTCAGAGGCATCACGATTCCTTTCTTCACTATCCCCCACCGGTAAATAGGTTAAAAACATATTCAAGAACTGAAAAATCAAAACTTTGGTTTTAAAGGAGTTTTGTTTGTGTGTGTTTCACAGATGAACCTACCGATTCCAGGATCTGGAGGATTTTATCAGTTTATAGAGCCCCCTTCAAACCAAAAACCTTGCCTTGACAATGTCCCTAAGTTTCTAGACGAAGAAAAGGTTAGATTTTTAACAACAAAATCAAATTTTGAGTTTTTAATTCTTAATCATCTCTTATGATTATTCATTAACAGATCGTGGCTGCGAAAAGACCATGGCATTTCATCGCAGAGACCACGAAATGTAGTGTTGGACCGACCAAAACCAGTAATATCTCAAGGTTTTTGTTTTTGTTTTTTTTCTTTTTTTTTGATTTAGGTTTAATCACTTTCTTGTGTTACACGCTTTGAAAAAGTCAAAGTTTTTTTGTTTGACTTTAATTTATTTTCTTTATTTTCAAAATCTTCAGAGATGGTAAACAAATCAAGTCGTTAGACCAAAGATTGAAAAATCATTTTCAAGATTCAGGAACCACAATCAGAAATCCAATCACAATTGATTCTCTTTCTCCCGCAACTCCTCCTACACCGATGATTATCCCAAATTCTTCACTCGATTTCCCACGCTTCATACAGGTATAATGCCAGTTTTTATATGTTTTCTAATCTGTTTTTGATTGATCAGTTTCGGTTAATTTTTTTTCTAATTATGAAACAGAAAGAAGAGTTTGATCATGAGTTCGTGCCACGAAGGAACGTTGTTAATCTTCTTGCCTCAAACAAAAAACCGTTCTACAGCTTCTTGCCCTCGAATGAGCAGAGTACTCGCGACCAAGATCTATCCTTTAGCTTGAAAACCGATAGATATGACACAGTCACTGATCACGGCATTGATCTTCGCCTTAAGTTATAAGAAACATGATGATTCTCTTAAGCAAATTTTCAAAACTTCGAATCTTTATGTCATTTTGTGGTTTCGGATATATAAACAAAGATTTGGCTTTGTTTTGCTTTCGTTTTTAGTAGAAAAACATGATGCAAGTGAAATAAATTTCATGTCCAAACCAAGTATCATATACTTTAACTTCCAAAAATCAAAACTGGGGTTTGATTCGAAAATTACTGTATGAGGACCCTAATGAAACCGGAGGTTCTGATTGGTTCTCCCGCTACCACCCGCAAACGCAGCGTTTGCGGTTCGTAGCGGTTTTCGGCGGTTTATAACAATCACGACAACCGCTTTGAATCGCTCTATACCACTCTGTACCGCTCTATATCGCTGAAAATCAAAAGCTCCTTTCCGCAAGCGTTTGCGGTTGCGGGTGGATAATAAAAAAAAAAAAAAAAACACAAACTTATATAAAATCCGAAAATAAATAATAATATTTATTAAAAAATAAGATTTGGATAATAAAATCACAATATAAATAAAAAATTAGTACTTTTAGTCAATATTCATTAAAATCATATAATACTTATATATTTATAAGTTCTACAAATCAAAATTCTCTTCATAAATATTCTTTTCATACTAATACATATATATCTAATAAATAAAATTGTAAAATAAATTTAATTTTCACATTAAATATATATTTTGAAAATAAAATCACATTTTTATTTAAATTATAGAAATTAAAAATAGACGTAAGTATTATACACATATTATTCTTTATAAAAAAATATTTTTAATTATGTTGAACCATAAATTTAAAATTTTCATTATAATATATTTTTGATATTTTTATAATTATATAATGTGTTTATATTATTAATTTATTTTGTTTAACCCGCAAACGCATCCATTTTCAATTGTTATGCCAGTCGTACAAACCGCTTAATAACGCTACTAATCACAACCGCCCGCTTCCGCAAACTCCCGCACCGAAACGGTTAAATAGAACCTATTGAATTTCTATCGAATATCGGTTCGGCTTGGGTTGGCGACCTGCGTTTGTGAAACGCTTAGGCTAGCGTTTGTGGCTCTGAATGATTTTTTTTTGAAAATTTTCAAAATCAGATAGCAGTAAATGAATCAAATCGCAATTCCCTAGTTCCGAGAACTCAGAATTTAATCTCCCGCCTCTTCAACACCTACTAGACTCAATTCTCGAACCTCGAAAGGAGGAGGAGGAAGGCGAAATGCCGCGAAAACCTAGACGTAATGTGCCGGAGATCCTATGGAGGTTATTCGGGAAAAGAGCCAGAAATTTAGAGGACGCAATCGTAGATCTAAGTACCGGCCGGAAAATCCAGCCGGAGCATTGCCGATGCCGGGGCCAAGGTTGTCTCAGTTGCAGCACCGATGAACCGTCGTTTCTGTTGCGTCCCGATGATCCCATTCACTACCGTAATCTTCTTCACCGCTGCTTCGTAGTAACTCACGAACAAACCCCTCCGCTTCTGGATTTCACGCCGATATCTCGGTGGTCTCAGAGAGAGGTAGGACTTTGCCTTTGCACTGTACTATGCTTTGGTTTAACTTCTTAATTTGGGAGATTTTAAGATGATTTAAGCATGTTAATGGATCTATTTTGTTATGATTTTGCAACGTAATCCTTCAATTAAGTTTTTTTTTTCAGATTGTCGAAAGGGTTATTGAAATGATGGAATCTGGATGTGATTGCCAAAATAATGTGATTTGGGCAAGGTATGACAAGGTGAAACTCTTCTTCTTACATGACCATTCTTCAGTCACTCTTGTTGAATTTCTTTGGCAGCTAATTGATGGTTGCTCTTCTCTTTCACCCATTTGTCAGTATGATCAGTCGAGCCCTATTCTTGAGTTACTGACAAGTTCGTCTTGGGAGTTACTACTCACACGAGTTTGTTGTCAAACTCTTTTTTTGGATGATATTAACTCACAATTCGAGTTTGGAGCCGTTAATATATATTCAACTTCTCTTGATTTGTAGGTCGGTGATGAGTTCATGGTTTATCTACTACAGCACACATCAACATTCTTACCATTTCAAGGAAGGAAACACCAGCAAGTGGCTGGACCTCCTCTATGTATCAAGCAAATGGGTAAGTCTTAATCGATAACCCAATCATATATTTTCTTGTTGTCATATAAATTAACCCAAATTTTGGTTTCAGTTAATTTTTTAACTTGGTAAAGTTTCTATTCTTATACAGAGACATTGACGGTCCACGAAAACAAAAGAAAGAGGGATGATGACAACATTCATCCACCAAAGAAGAGGCAGCGGTTTTCTTCAAAGGATAACTCTGCAGCTGTAACGTCCGTAGCTGACGTGAATGAAGAGGAAAAGCCCACTAAGCGTTCAAGATTGTATCTTAAGCGTCGGCGAAAGCAGAGAAAACTCAATTGCCAGAAAGTTGACAATTGTACAAATGGGAAAGCCTCAACTGAGAATGAAGCTGATGAAAGGAATCTGCACTTGAGTCTCACTGATTTTGCAAAGCAGGTGAACTTTTGTATCATGGTTTGCTCAATCAGACTTAAGTTGGTAATCAATCAGCTCGTTATTAATACTCTTCCTGACACACTTCATTGCCTTCAAATTCAAAAACCTGTTATTGCCTTTTGAAATGTAACCACTTCTTCGTTCAGGCTAAACAGGTGAAAAGAAAGAAGCATTTCAAGTTTGCCAACACGGAAACGTTTTCAGTTATACCACCAAACCGTATCCTTGAGCGGGTTGAACATGTTCAATAACTTGTTCTTGTAGCATCAATAGCTTGATGGGAATGTTTATATGCGACTCTTCTCTACACAGCTCTTCTCCATTGTGTATGATTCCTTATGATATACAGACATTTTGAAAACATTAAGGCCCAACTGCTCTGATTCAAAGTCTCTAATGAACCATATATTTGGTGAAGTAAATGCTTGGTCAACGGCGCCAACTCATGGCAAAGGAAATTGCCCCAGTGGATCTATTTGCTTGTAAGTCATGCATTTATTTTCCTAGAGTTTCTAACGTTTCGAGACAACTAAACTTATTCTGAAACTTGGAGCAAGTAGTCACTGACTTGAAGGACATAATTCAATTTTTTGTTGAATGGACTGATGTTTCTTTTATTGTCCTGCAGATATCATTCATTGCTCAAGTCTCTTAAAAGCCTAATTGGAAAAACAAAGTCCTCTCATTTGAAAACGTTACTAGATAAACACTGTCCTGTCCTCTTCCCGCAAGAGGATGCATTGATGAAGTCTGCATATACGACTTCCCAGGTTTATATTTTTTTCTTATGATATTGTTTTCAAATTAAATTTATGTAAAGTTTGGATAATGCATCTGACCATTTATATCTCAGAAAAAAATGTAGAAAGGGGAAATCATCACAGTTTCTAGATTTGCCTATATTTTGCAAAAGAAATGCATGAGAATTCATATCCGTGGCACTTACGACTGACCGTTGGATTGACAAACCTTACATAACTTGTATTACAGAGTTCCTGGAGGCAAAATACGGATGGATCAAGTTCAGAGACGGGCAAAACCAATTGTCCCAGTGTCAAAGAAACGAAGCTTTATTGCACGAAAGACCAAGTAGTTTCCTTTATTTGGGGCATGTGTAGGTACATTATTCCAGAAAGTTTGCTTGGGACCACTCAACAGATGAGGGTGCTTAGGAGAAACATAGCCTGGTTTGTTTCTAGGCGAAGAAACGAGATATGCACAGTGAAGCAATTTTTGCATAGGGTGAAACCATCAGATTTCCCTTTCTTTGCCAATAAACACTTATGCTGTCACGAATTCCAGAATGAGTCCTCCTTCACAAGTACACAGCAGATGTTGTGCACGAAATGGGTTTCTTGGCTTTTTCTAGAGATTGTCAAGAAACTGGTGCGCTTCAACTTCTACGCTACTGAAAGCCAGGAAGGGCGGCTAAACATTTATTATTACCGGAAATGCAGCTGGGAAAGGTTAATAAGCAAAGAAATTAGCAAAAACCTCAATGGATATGTCCAAGTGGACAATGCTGACGAAAGTAGAAGGAAAAAGCTGCGGTTTAGATTCTTACCAAAGGCAAATGGTGTGAGGATGTTGGTGGATTTTAGTTCCTCGTCAAGGTCGCAATCTCTTCGTGATACACATGCTGTTTTGAAGGACATCCAGCTCAAAGAACCAGATGTCCTTGGTTCTTCTGTTTTTGACCATGATGGTTTCTACAGAAACCTAGGCCCGTATCTGATCCATTTGAGGAGTCAATCTGGAGAACCTCCTCCTCTGTTCTTTGTAATTGCGGATGTATACAAAGCATTTGATTCAGTTGACCAGGGTAAGCTTCTTGACGTCATGCGATCTGTCCTGAAAGAGGAACACGTCTTGAACAGATGTAGGTTGGTCTGCTGTGGGAAGAGATCACGTTGGGTTAGCAACATACTAGTCTCGAGTGATAAAGATGCTACCTTTTCAAGATTCACATCAACTGTTCCATATAATGCTCTGCAAAGCATCATGGTTGATCAAGTATGCTTCTACTTCCTTGTTTCGACTGAAGAAATCGCATTTGCTTACTTGTATGCTTAATCAGTGTTATGGTTCTTCTTGGTTCAATGTTTTAGGGAGAAAACCATCTGGTGAGGAAAGAGAATCTCATGGCTTGGATAGAAGACATGCTAAAGAAGAATATGTTGCAGTTGGATAAAAGCTTGTATACACAAATAGCTGGAATACCTCAGGGACACAGATTATCATCCTTGCTGTGCTGTTTTTACTACGGGCATCTCGAGAGGACTTTGATTTACCCGTTCCTCGAGGAAGCCGATAGAGAGAAAGAGCTGATCACTCCCCAGAGCTATAAGTTACTGAGATTTATCGATGACTACCTGTTTGTCTCTACCTCAAGAGATCAGGCGATGAGCTTCTATTACAGATTGAAGCAAGGTTTCCCAGATTACAACTGCTTCATGAATGAAAAGAAATTCTGCATAAATTTCGAAGATGAAGGAGAATCTCAGAGTTCTTGTAAAAGGATGTATGTGGGTGATAATGAAGTTCCCTTCATCAGATGGACGGGCTTGCTTATTAATTCCCGGACATTCGAAGTTCAAGTTGACTACAAAAGGTCTAGCCTCATTCTCTTGTATCTCCCCCTCAGCTTTTTTTAGCTATATGATTGTTTAGAGTATAATTTTGCCACTGGAACAGGTACTTGAGTGGGCATATAAGCTCAACTTTTTCTGTAGCTTGGCAGAACAAACCAGTTAGGAATCTTCGGCAAAAGTTGTGTAACTTCTTGGTTCCCAAATGCCATCCCATTCTCTTTGACTCGAACATCAACTCGGGGAGAATTGTCAGGTTAAACATCTATCAGATCTTTCTGCTATCTGCAATGAAGTGTCATTGTTATATCTACGAGCTGTCCCGGTTTTGGAAGCTTCATCCTCAAACTTTGTTCAAATTCATCACAAGATCTATCAGGTACGGAATTAAAACTATTTCATATGTTTGATTCGCACTAATTTGGTTCTGATCTAGTGTTGTTGATTTTCCTTGCAACTGATAGGTACATGTTCAAACTCATAAATCGAAGGATGCACAAAATCAACACTGGGTCTAGTTTCAGACCACTTCTTAAACTGTACAAAGAAGAAGTGACATGGCTTGGATTACACGCCTATGTTCAAGTGCTGAAGAAGAAAAACTCTCGATATCGAACCCTCTTGATCTATCTGAAGTCTGCACTTTCTAAACACAGTCTTTCTCTCAACCTATCACCGGAACTCAAGTTTGCAACGGACCGGTCAAACTCATCTTCGCTGTGGAAATTGAAGTACTGATTACTTTATTATTGAAGTTGAAGTGGTTACACTTCCTTCGGGTAAAACTTGTAGTTGTAAAGCATTTCCACAATTTCCTCAAATTTTAATAAACATTCATTCATATCAACAAAAATTGAAACTTTATATTTATCTCTGAATGAGCTCTTAAACATACTACTGCAGAGGGAAACTTTTGAAATACGGAGTGGTCTGAAATGGAATATTTAAAGCACAAAAATATATAAGGAAAAACAAAAAAACACTCTCGAAAACATTCACTGATCCTACATGTTAGAGGTGAAAGTTCCGTTCTTGCCTAGAGACTTGAAATGGAGATAGATGAGGACAAGAGAGAAGAAGTAGAGAGCAAACGCCAAAACACATATCCAAAAAGGATAAGTTGATCTAACATAAGCCGGTACGCCTATTATGAGTCCAACAATCACAATAATGAGAACTTCTGTAGAGTAATCCCAAGTCAATCCTCTAGTGTATACAATCGCCAATATAATCGAAATCCCCAGCAGATTGTTCATTGTAACATCCTTGTAGATCTGCACCAACAAAAAACATAACGACAAAACTCATTTTACTTTTTATGTTTTCCGATACCAATAAAAATGGAGATTCAACAAGACTAACCTCAGAGAATGTATCTGAAGTGATTCTAGCCTTGTCTTTCTTGCGACAGAAGTGAGCAGACAAAGCGTTCTTTAGGTTTCTTGCCAAAGGGATCACTGCAAAGACAACATAGAAAGAAGGAACACCAGCGGATACAGACAAACGCTCGATGTTCATCATGAATGGCATTGCAAGAAAGATGACAATTAGCATCCCTACAATGACTTCAATGGAAGCTCTCAAGGTTCTCTTCGAGAGCAGCTTAACGACAAGACATTCGTTTGGAAGTTCCATCTTCACTACTCTATCCTCCTCCTGCACATAAAGTAACAAACACTTTTGAGATTTTCTCAAACCATAACTACTGTTCTTGAAAAGATTTTTCTGTTTTCTGTACTTACTCTTTGACACTCGGTGGTATCGAAGCTGAGTTTGTACTGTTTCAGCCATTTCTCGATCCCTTTCTCGAACTCAGCCTCATCTATCTCACCATCTCTATCGTTATCAAAATCAGAAATCAATGCAGTGGCAAGCTTATCTATGTCACACTTCATTCTTCCTAACATCCCAAACTCCACAGTCAGATCTTTCAACTCTGAAACTTGGATCTTTCCGTCTTTGTTCACATCTATTTTTTCAAACAATCTGTAGTAATAATAACAACAACCACTAATTAGCATTTTCATCTCAAAACCAATTAACAAAGTCCCAAGTTATATATTACTAAAAGAAGAAACAAATAGATAAAAACCTTTTCAAACTTTCTTTATTTAGTTGTCTATCTCTTAAGAGGGTTTTGGGTGAAAAATTCTGCAAATGCTTATGAACTTCTGACATGAGCTCAAACCTAGCATGATCTAAGCTCTTCTCTTGGTCTGCTCTATCAAAATACTGAGACAAAAAAAGTGTGTTAGATTAGGCACAAAAATATCATTTATTATATGGATCTGGAAGCTTTGCTCATACCGAATAAACAAAGTAGACAAGAGTTGCAGAAGCAGAGATTATGAGTGTGATCAAGATTATTAAGTCATTCCAAGATTTTGAATCAAACATCTCTGAAAGTGTGACAATGACGAAAGGCAATAAAGTCAGGAGCATAATCCCTGCTGTTTTCTTGTTATTGGGATCTGCTTTTACGCTAGCTTCTGCATAGAGATACCGCAAGAATAAGGCTCAGGGAAAAAAGAAAGAAAGAATCAAGATTTTCTTTAAGAGATTCAAACATACCCTTGACGCTCTTGAATAGATTTTTGATGCAAAATTGTGGTGTTGTGTCCTGTATGGAATGTTTTTAAGTCATATGATTTTCTAAAGACTCAAAGAAGAAGAAGAAGAAGATGTTACCGTCTGGTCTTCTTCTTTTCTGATGGACTGATCTGATTTGAGACCAGACAAGCCAAAGACAACACAAGCTCCCCACTGCATTGTCAAAGCAAAGACTGTGTATCCAACAGTAACTCCAACGTTATTACCAACCATCGTGTTTGCAATCTCTCTGCTTCCCACAAGTCCAGTCGCTGAGATAAAACCAAAGCTTAGTCTTTCATTGTAATAAACAAAAAAAAAAGATTCAAGAAAAAAAAAAGGGCTTCTTACAGAGAATAAGTGCTACTCTTGGGAACATTGTAAGGAGAGGGAAGATGATTCCGCCATAGAAACCGACCTCGAAGATGACAAAGAGCTTAGACCTTCCTTCAGACAAGAAGTACTCACCGACTATCAGTAGACAGCCAAAGGAGAAGACTTGGAAGACATATCCTCCAACGTTGTCTGCACACGGCAGAAATCCGTAGACATGAACACAAGCATCCTTGGAAATGCGATGTGGCGGATCAAGACTGAGAAACTCGTAGCTGGATCCATCGGAGACCAATTCCTCAGATAAAGAACTCAAAACACGACCGTTCACGGCAGAGATCAAAGCTAGTAGAGAGAGAAAAGAAAGAAACTGAGCAAGACGTGCCATGGAAGTAAACTTGAAACAGGGTTTTTTTCTCTTTTTTTTTAGTGAGCTGTTTGGTCAGATCCTTCTCTTCTTAACCGATATATATATATACACACGGGAACTGAGCGATGGAACGTGATCTTTAGTGAGTTTTAACATGATAGCGGAATAAAGAAAGACTCTAAAGTTAATTTAATTGATGAAGCTGAGATTGATATAAGAAAAAAAACTTCTTCTAACAATTATTTGAGTCTAATTACAACGTGAATGTCTAGTTATGCTCAGTGGATGGTTATTATTATACTTATAGATTTGTTTATGACCGTTGACTTTTAAGTACGGTTGAGAACTAACATTCTCATTTTCACAGCCTTAGACACAGTTGTAGAAACTAGACATGTGCAAATCGAGTCGACCTGATGAAAAGCCTTGTCCAAAGACAATCCTAAAATTTTCAGGTTATTTTTTAAGATGTATAACTTTGGTCTCTATTCGTTTTGCAGCCGATTTAGCACAACGATCAACAGTCAACATATGTTTTGTTGTGTGTTTAACAAGGAATCTCGATAATCAATTGCCGAATCACAAATGAAACAAGTGTCGTGAATACTAACTATATATAAAAACAATCTTGTTCTGTAAATGCTAGCAAAGTTAGATGTAAAGGCGAAAAGAGGTGGAAAGATGGAAGGAATAAATAGTATTTTTTTGCCCCCCACTATCATCCATATTCCTATTTCGTGATCCTCATTTCCTTTCATCATAGTCCATATTCTTTTTTTTTCTTATAATTTTCTCCTCGATATTCTTTTTTTTCAGAATGGATTGCTTATTAATTATTCTCATTTTCCATAAAAATTATAATGATCTTCGTGTAAGCTTTAAACTATAATACAACAAAACTAAACATTGAAACATAAAAACATACCTGCCATAAGATCACCCGTGACACAGCCTTATTTTATGTAAGAAAAGACACTCACAACTACACAAGCATCAAAGAGCTTTTGGTCAATTAGCATGAGAAGTAACAGTTAAAAATTTCACAACCTTATGGTCCTTATATCACTGTCTGAGCATCGAATGTGTTATAAGTAATATCTATTACTAATAAAAGTTGACCTTAAAGGTGTCCACCTAAGATTGAAAAAACTTAATTTGATTAGTCTACATAAGCATTCACATGATTAAAAAAAAAATCCTATATTTAAATATGTAATAAATTAGGAAATTAAAAATATAATATCATTCTAATATTTTCAGCAATATAACATGAATTGTATATTTTTCTATTACAATTTAACTATTAGTAAAATATATATTATCAATAGAAAAGAGACATGATTTAGGAAAATATTTAAAACATAAGAAATATTTGCTTGTTTTTTGCTAAACTATTGCTAATTTTTTTCTTATTTTTTATTTAGTCGTAAAATTTTACTTTTAAGATCTTACTATTTTTTTTATAAATTATTTTTATTAGTTTAGAATTTTTATTCAAAATGTACCCCAAATTAAATATTTTTTTTAGTTCCCAACTTCCTCTTAGCAACCTTAAACATCCAACAACCCAAGTTAACATTAAAATTCAAAATAGTAGTCAAATATAAACGTAACAAGTATTAAACAAATTCTAACCTAAAAGTTCATTCTGCACATAGGGCAGCTGGTGTGCCACTAAGCCAAACATTCTCAATGGAATGCATGGCTGCAGGGAGTTTGAGCCAACAATTGGTTTGGCTCAATACTTTCAAGACAAATTGAGCATTCCACTTCCACATATAGGAAGTGGAGGCTTTCTCATCTTATTGACGAAAAATTTACTTTATGCATAACAGAGAAAACCAATAGTAATGCAATGGCTACTAAAAAACTATAAATATGATCTTCCAATGGCTATATGACTCAAGACTACTCTGGTGACTAATCCCATATACTAACTTTCTGATATGTAATCATTTCAGATATATAACTCAGAGTTCTTTGGTGATTAATCCAGATACTAAAGCCTACAGAACAATGTAAAAAGGCTTTAATCTCACTAAAATGTGATTATTGTTTTCAATAGAAAAATATATTAAAAGAGACATGTTTTAGGAAAATATTTAAAACATAAGAAATATTTGCTTATTTTTTGCTAAAGTAATGCTAAATTTTTTTTTATTTTTATTTTATTTAGTACTCCCTCGTTCCTTTATAATGAATTTTCTAGCAATCTTTTTGTTATTTCATAAAGATAAATTTTCTACCTTTTATGTATTTTTGAAGATTTCAAGAAACACTTATTAAGAATAACTATATTTCTTGAATTTTTATTGGTTTAAAGTGATAGGAAATAGTGTAATTACAAAATATATACACTTATGATTGAAAAGTAACTTTTTCTTAATAGATGTGAAAAAACTATAAAATTTATCTTTAAGAAACGGAGGGAATACTGAAAACATGTATAAGTTTTTATTAAAACCAAAAATGTACTTATATTTTAACTAGGAATTTTTCTTAATTTAAAATAAAGGTTTCAATTATATAAATAATCACTTAAATTTACAACAAGTATAACAATAAAATAAGTTTACATACCATATATGAATTTTTTTTTAAAATTACTAAAATTATTTACAAAATGAATGGAGTTATGCAGAATTTGAAGAGTGGAGAATAACCCAGACAAGAAAAAAAAGAAGTTGAAAAAAATAAAAAATCAAGACGAAAACAAAGAAAAAAGAAGAGTTAGTGACGAAACCGAAGAGAAAGAAGGACCTGAAACAAAACAAGAACACAAAGGAGAAATAACTAAGTTTTTTTTTAATAATAATTACTAAGCAATTCTAGGGGAAGTCTTTAAAATAAATTAAATAAATAATTAAATCAAATAACAATATTCAGCGGAAGCAAATAACAATAAATAAATATAGCAACCTAAACGCCAGGTGCTAGCAAGTCAAACAAATTCAAAGAAATAAATCATATCATCCCCTTCTACAGCCTTGATTCCGCGATCACTTACACCTTTTACCTGCGACACATTGCGAAAGAGTTGCGTAAGTATTTAATAAATACTTAGTGAGTCGATCACTCTGCCTATAGGCCAATTACGCAAATACTAGGCAATTAAATAATAATTATTAAAATACTCTTTATCAATTATTAAATAATTCTCACAATGAAATAATAATTTTCCACACTGGAAATTATTTTTGACCATTTAATTAGTTACAATAACCATTACCTAATTAATTACTAAATTAAACCATCAATTTCGATTAAACCAGATAAATTCAATTAAATCAATTAAATTCGATTAAACTGGCCTAACCGGCCTGTGTCGAGCGACACCAGCTTGGTGTCGCCCGACACAGAGCTGCAAAACGCAGAGAAACGACAATGAACAGTACCTGAAACCTTGAATCAACCAAAAACTCAAAACAACGAAATCAAACAACACCACGACCATGAAACAACACACAATCACGCACATAATCACAATCCTACCATCCACGAGCCTAGAGTCAGGCACTCACCTCGGATTTGGATTGAACAAGGGGAAAAAGAAGGTCATGATGAACAGTGACGACAGAAAACAACGAAGAACACGACACAGCAGCCACCAGCACGAACCCAAGCCTCAGATCGACGGCGAACAGCCTCCGATAGATCCTCCAAACACCAAAACGCCTCCAAAAATCTCCTCTCCTCTCAATTGGCCCACTAAACAACAAAATCAGGACGAAGAAAGCGGCTGTGCAGGTTTTTAATCGCGACCCAAGGGTTTCCAACAAAAACCGGGATTCAACTCACTCAAATTGAACCGAGTTTGATTTCAAAATCGATGTGTCGACCGACACACTTCTCTTGTTTCGCTCGACACAGCTTCCAGAAACTGACCGATTGGTTTACGGATGTTACAAAGAAGAGAAAATGAGAAGATGAGTGAAGATGAATAAAGAAACTAAATAAAAAATAATAATATATCAAAGCAGAAGAAATTGAAGAAGAATATATAAAATTAAATTAAAAAACATATAAACAAGAATATAGAAGGAAATGAAAAAAAAAATGTGTGTCGATTAGCTTCTTTTCAATTAAATTTTATACCCCTAGAAATCCAATCTAAATAGTAGCTCATTTACAATAATATTAGCTTCTCTAAATTAAATTTGTTCATACATACATTTCAATTTTTTAGGTTTAGCTAGGTGTATCAGATAATGAAAATTTGTTCTATATAAGATTAAGATTAAAGAAGTTTATACTAAACATATTTACAAAAGATATAACCATGAGGAATTTAAAAGGGAAGAATAACCAATACATAGAAGAAGAAGAAGTTGGAAGAAACAAATTCTAGCGAAACCTAATATTTTCTATGGAATGAATTAATCATAATAGAATAAGAACGAAGAAGAGCAAAAATAAAAAGATGTCAATGAAGAAAAGCGAAGACAAAGATAGCAAAAAACGAAAACACAAAAAAAATCATATAAGATAAAGCTAAACCAAGAAACCAAACAAAAAGACGAAACTGAAAAATATGAAATTGAAAGCTATGCTTAAGTATCTCTTTATGATCGCATAAATTTAACTATTTATATTATTGTTACATTGCTCATTACATGTGTGAATATGTAAATGTACCATCTCTAAGTTAATTTTGTTTCTATAAATCTTTTTTATTTTTAACTTTGGTTAAATGTATCAGATAGTTAAAATTTTACTCTACATCAGATTTTTTTAAAGAAGATTACATAAGTATTATTTATAAAATGGAGAAAGTCGGGAAAAAGGTTCACTATAGAATAATCAAGAAAAAAATTAAACAAAAAAAGATTATAGCAAAACCCTAACAATTTCAACTGTTGAACTAATCATAAAATAAATAAAAGAACAGTAATCAAGACAGGCATAAACAATAAGAAGAAACATAAAAAAAATGAAAAAGAAGATATCAAAAAACGAAACAAAAAATAAATCAAAGATGAAGAAGCAGTTAAATAATGGAATAAACCAACAAAAAAAATTGAATAAAGAAGAATAGACCAAATAATAGAATAAAAAATATGAAACAAAATACGAAGAATACGAATATTAGATTAACTACAATCACCATGACCATACTACTAAAGAAACAAACTTATGAATAAAAAATGTTAAATTAAATTAGTAATAACGCCCCGCGCGTAGCGCATGTAAAAGTCATAGTATCAATATTAAGAATCCAAGTCATAGGATCTCTTGACTCCGCCTAAACAAAGTTACTGCAATTTTTAAGTATATAATCAAAATAATGCAAAATGTTTTTTTTTTAAGAAATAATGCAAAATGTTATTGGATCTAAATTAGCTTTTTGTAAAAAAATAAATAAATATATATATATGAAAACAACAATACACTTACACATGAATAAATTAGTTTCTTTCTTGTTTTCTTGCAAAATCATTTTTTAACTTCGAAATCCCGAGTTTTACGTTTAACAAAAAAAAAAAAAAAAATCCAGAATATTGTGGAACGCAAATAATACATTTGCATATTTATTTTATCACATGTATAAAGTGAGTTTTATAACCAAAGGACACTAAAATTAATGTATTTGTTTTTTAGCATGTAAAATGCGTTTGGAATCTATGTCAATCAATTAGACCCAATAAACGAATCTCCGTCACATTATCTACAAATGTATATGTCCAATGTCCATAACAGGAGACAGAAACCTTCACATTATGGCATGTTCACGAGAAAAAAAATGAGCAAATTGTCTAATGTCCATATCCTAACGAAAAAATATATATATACAATTAACTCCACCAAGCTTATAAAATTTCTCATCTTCTTCTCTATAAACCTAAAATGGCAGAAGTGACCGTTATTTCTTCAACCATTGTCCGACCTGGAAACAAAGATCAACCGGGTCGGGAAAAGATCCATCTAGCTCCACATGACCTCCACCTTCTTTATCTTGTTTATCCTCAAAGAGGTCTTCTCTTCCCCAAACCCGACCCGAAAACCCGTTTCATCCCTCAGCTAAAGGCCGCTCTCTCCACTGCCTTAGAGATATATTTCCCGTTCGCTGGTCGTCTCGTCAAAGTGGACAATCACCAAGACAATACAGTGTCGTTTTACATCGACTGTGACGGATCAGGCGCCAAGTTCGTTCACGCCAAGGCCGAGTCTGTCTCCGTCGACGAGCTTCTTCAGTCTCGTGGCTCTGTTCCACATTTCATGAATCTTTTCTTCCCGGCAAACAATGTGGAAAGCCGTGACGCCCTAACCTCAGAGATCTTGCTTGCATTGCAAGTCACCGAGATGAAAGATGGAGTTTTCATCAGTTTCGGTTATAACCACATGGTGGCTGATGGTTGTTCGTTCTGGAGCTTCTTCCACACTTGGTCCAACATTTTCCGGACCGGTTCCGGTCACAACTCTCAGCCTCTTGCTCTCAAAGATTGGTCACTTGACAAGATTGATTACCCGGTCCGTATACCGGTTTCAGAGATGGAGAGGCCACAAAACTGTGAGAATCCAACTAAAGAGCGAGTTTTCCACTTCTCAAAGAAGAAAATCTCATATCTCAAAGAGAAAGCCAACGACGAAACCGGCTCCATTGATTCGAAAGTGTCTTCTCTTCAAGCGGTTGTAGCATATCTATGGCTACTAATTCTCAAACATAGTGGTCTTAGCAGAGAAGAGAAGACGCAATGCAAAGTAGCTGCCGTCTGCCGACATGAGAAGGAGGCTAAACCCTCCGCTTGAGAAAGAGTGTTTTGGGAATTTGGCTCATCTCGCGGTAGCTACGACCACAGTGGGAGAGGTTTTGGACCACGGTCTAGGCTGGACCGCTTTGCAAATAAGTAAATCTGTGAGGTCACAAACGAATGAAAGTTATAATGCGTTTGCAGAGAATTGGGTTAGAAATGTTGAGGTCCCAAAAATAGGGGTTGGAAGTAGAATGGCTGATAATTCTTTGATCGTTGCAAGCTCTCCATGGTTTGACGTGTACGGTCATGATTTCGGTTGGGGAAAACCGGTCGCGGCTCGAGCTGGACCGAGTAATGGTGTTGGTGGTTTGCTCGTAATGTTTCGTGGGGTTGAAGAAGGGAGTATTGATGTTCATGCGATCTTGACTTCATCATTATGGTCTGATGCACTAGCTATTATTAAGAATCCTTGTTAGATACCTCTATAAATATAACTTATAAGATGGAGAAAGATGAGATTGAGAATAAAGAAAGAGTATATAATTATTTTAATAGAGTACAAGAGATATATAAATCAGCTGGTTTTTCTTGCAATAAGTCTTAGCATTTTTTCGATCAAACTTTGTCGCATTGGATTTGTGTTACAAGAAAACATACTTTGTCGCCTTAGTGAGTAGACTTCTCAGAAAGGGGTACTTGAGATGCAGACAAAAAGAAATAGTAATGAAACAATTACTAGTCATGAAAAGTGAAAACCAAAGGGATTAATTTGTTTGTCGAATGTAGTAAGGAGCCTAAAAAAGCCAAAACTTGTACGGGCAAAAAGACAGAACTACTCTGTTTCTGTTATACAAGAACCGGGAGCGTCAGAGAGAATCTTTTACTAGAAAATTACCAGCGGCCTCTTCCACGACCACGACCACGGCCACCACCACCACCACCACCATGTCTTCCCTGGCCTCGGCCTCTGTGACTGCCTCTTCCACCACCGTATGAGTTACGTTCAACTGCTTTGTTCACAAACTGATGACTCTGCACACGTCCCTTCTTTGCACCCACATCATTACCGGCTCCATTTGCAGGCCGTTTTACTCTGGTAGCCAAGTGGAGCACACAAAACATTAGTTCTCTCAAAATTTGGAAATCAAGAAACGAAAACTTGACAAAGACTATATAAGACCAAAAGAAAACTGAGAGTTCGGTAAAAAATTGGCTTGTATTGTACCCAGTTGTTGCAGAGGCTACCGGTTTAGTGGGTTCTTTCCAAGAAAGGGTAACACTTGTGTCTCCGATAAAGGAAGGTGCTTTTGCATGCAATGCCTGTCATATCGCAAGACGATTAAAATTTGCCAAATTTATAATCAGGTTTACATAGAAAAGGGGACGAAAAGAAGAAGAGGATATGGATCTGTTTTTCACCTTTGTCATTGTTAATATGTTATTGCATGTCCTGAGTCCAGCTGTTGCAGTCTGCTTCTTCTTTTTCTGAAAAAAAAAAAAAAAAAGCTTTCTAAACATTAACCACAACAAAACGATACAAAGATGTAACTGGGAAAGAGAAGAGAGTGTTCTCACCACGCTTGACTTCTCTTCATCTGTCTTCGCAGCCGACATGGCTTTGTTGTGCTCAGACATTCCTTGAGTTAGGTTCTTCATTTTTATCTTGGTTAGATCCTCAAAGTTGGTCAATCTGCAACATCCGTCAGTAATTTGAAACAATTTCATAATAGACAACAAAGAGAAAAAACATAATGCAACAATACCTCTCAATGAATTCCTTGTAAAACTCTGAGAAGTCTTCCCCGAGTCTATCTGATGGCTGCCCAGTCACTATCTTGTACCCGCACAAGCTGTTTGTCGCATTCGGAGCCTATATGTTCAACAGAAACACATAAGTATGAAAGAAGAGAAAGAGACCTGACCAAGCAAGCTTAAAAACAGTTGATAACCTTGTGCGCTAAGTGATGAAGAACATATAACAGGCACTCGACATATGTGAAGTTCATTTGTTCCCCAGTCTTCCTGGCAGGCATGCATTTCTGAAAGCAAAAGAGAGTGTGTCAGGCTTCATAAGATAACAGAGAAGCTAGCAAGGCAACTATGTGTTTACATTCAAAATACGACACAGATAAAATATACACCAGAGATTTGACCAACACTAAAACATGGTGCTTAAGAGGTACCTTTAAGAGCTGAACTATTGCGGGAAGCATCTGACGTGCTACCTGAGCTGTTGTGCAAGGTGAAATCTCAGCAAGTGCTCTGAGCAACTCCAGCTTCCTCTGCTCTGGCAGCTAGTCAATAAAGGATCCGGTTAATATTACGCTTTGTGTCTGGCGTAATAATACCAAAACAAAGAAGAAGATAGGCAAGAGGCGATAGTATGATTAAAAAGAGTAGCATGCAAGTTCGAGAGTAGTTCAGTTCAGTTATGACTTATACTTTCAATGCCATTAACTATTCTTAGTGTGCCAAAGAGAATACAAAGAGATCATGTACAGAGAGAAGACGGTCAAACACCTTAATGATGGGAATAAAGTTAGCTGTACCTTGTCAAAAGCAGGTAGGATATGCTTGTTCGTGTAGATAAGAAATTTGCTACCCGGAGCACCTCTCTGTTCACAAGAGGGTGAAGTTAGTAGGTTCAAAGCATCTTAACTATACAATATACTAGCGTTACACAGCACTAACTCTGAGTTCATACCGCAAAGAACGGAAGTGCCGTTTGCAGGCATGATATGAACCTGTCAATATGATCCGTATCACATGTAACCTGGAAAAAAAAAAATATTTGGACATCAGAAGTAGTTCCGTTGCACAATAATGAAATACTGAAATCATATAAATGAAACCTTCATAAAGCCATACTTCAAACCATGACTATCAAGGATGTTTACTAATGTTAGTAGATATTCCCATGGTAACTAAAAGAGATGCAATCAAATTACTATGACCCACTTCCTAGAATCAGATTTGCATCAAGACAACTGATAAGTATTGACCCCTCCTTATGTTCATTCCTACGCGAGGCAGTATACAGGACTTTGACTTCACCAAAAATTTTAGAGGCATCTTTCTCACATACTACCAATGAGAACTCACATAAATTATTCACACAAGAAAAACAATGGAGACTTAACACATTTATAAGCTTCTTGTCAAGCGAGGGTGAAGTTTATGATAGGAAAAGTATCCTCTTAATCTCACAAACATGCAAAAGACTAGCAGACTTCAGTCCCAGATAACAACCACTACTGGTGCAACTAAAAAAATCAATAAACACCTTGGAGGAATAATCATTACTGTAATTCTATCCAACCAGAGAGTGTGGCACGGGAAACTCACATCAAACTGTGAATCCAAATCAGCCTGTCCTTCGACAATTTCTACAAGTTCTTGCATTCTTTCTTGGGGAGCTTTCCCTCCAAATATACTCAAACTCGTCAGAAAATCCATAAACATATTGAATTCTCCTCCGCTTACATCTCCTAGGCTCTGGAAACATCCAAAGAGTGTCAGAAAAAAACGCTGTAGAAAAAAAGCAAGACAAAAAAAATCAAGGAGAACTCCATGTGGACGATACTTGGTCTAACCTTTTTGATTAAATCGGTTATATGTCTTTCCATTTCCTCTTGAGGCTTTAACAGTTCCCCTTTGAGAGGGAACACCTACATAGAAATACGAAAACTATGAAAAATAGGATAAGGTATACAAAATCTTTCCAAGGGAATCCTTAGCAAGCACTATCAGACAAATTTCATGTCACATCTTGTTCTATAAGAAATATTTCTTGAAGTCTCTGCAAAACTTCCAAACTAAGAACCACTTTCCTGATATACGCTACCTATCAGAACCATTACCCTTTTTAGTTGTTTAGCAGTATATTAAGTGCCTCGTCTAAGCAATAGAATCAACAGATTGTAAGCAATACAATGCTACCTCACTGTTTATATCGACAAGCAAAAAGATATAAATAGATCTTACTTGATAATTAAATATAACAGAGACTTATGAAAGCCGAGGTAAGATATAGCGAGAACCTCAAAGATAGAGAGAAAAGAAAGAAAGTGGTCGAAAAGACTCTAACCTTATCTCTGATATAGTTTAAGACCTTATCACGGATTTGATCGTCAGTAGTGGCCTCAGTGTGCTTAAACAACGCCGTCAAAGAAGCTACACCAAAAAAGGTGAAAAATAATGAAACAGAAGAAGCCACTAAGGTACCATCAGTACAAACATACAATAAATCTAAGTTCAGACAAAGAAGATGATAAGCAGAAGAAATCAAATTACCTTTAGTATCCTGCCGAAATAGTGACATAAAAGCCTTGTGCACAGCATCACGCTCCATTGCATCCTCTATTTGGATATCATATTATTATCCCGAGTCAGATAGTGAAAACAAAAAAACTCAGAAACACCCTAAATCTCAGGACTTACCAGTATTTAGACATTGTACAAGAACATCGATGATCTTCGATAGAAACTCAGGTGTATCCTTGCAGAACAGCGGAAGTCCGCGTATGGCTTGAACTCGTACCTGAGAATAAGAGGAAAATGATAATCTTTTAAGAAAACAACAGTATCAGCACCTGACACTGAGAGTTGCGCAGAACCAGGTCCTGAGACCCAACACATCTCAAATTCATGTGTCACATCAAATCATACTATTAAGAACGAGACACACAGAAATAATCACTTCAAGTAACACCATACTTTTAGAGTGAAGGCAGAAACGAAGTTTGAGCTATGTGCAGGACGAGATTAGGTAGGTACGTACCGCGACATCCACTTCTTCGATGATATCCAAGAAGGCATCAAAAGCTTCCGTTGCAAGATCGGAGAAGAATTTGAAGTAGCGAGGAATCAGCTGCGCGCCAAGCTGCTTGGTCTTGTTGCTCGTGTTGGACAACTCGATAATCCCTTTATAATCTTCTACATTCTGCAAAACCATGAGAATATCGTAGAAAGCGATCATAACACTGCCAAAACAAAGCAACAAAGCAAGCCTACAAAGAGCAAAATCACACCAGTATCCACAAATCTTAAACCCTAAACCCCAATTGTCAAACCAGAGACGAATCGAGAAAGCAATGAAAACCTAAATCAAACAGCCAACGATTGATTGAAAATCTAGAAGGAGAAGAAAAACGAACCTTAGACTTGTCCGTAGACTCACTCAGGTGCTCGTCGAACTCATAGAGCTTCTCGATATGCTTGGAATCTTCGGAGTATTGCTCTGACATTTCTGAGATTTCGATAAGAAGCTGAGATTGAGAAAATCAAAGCAGATGAGTATATACACAGTTGGTTTGGACAATACACATGTACATTTCACGTCTCTGCACACACACATAATAGTGAAAAAAAGCTTTGAGGAAAAGATGAAGAAACGGAAGAAGAAGAAGAAATGAGAAGAAGACGAGAAGACCGTACATGGCGATTTTGGAAGAGTGTAGAAGGTTGTTGATACTAGTGATTCACTGATTCTCTCGCAGAGTAGCCCAAGGGTTCCTGTGATTTTTCCTCTCCCCTCTCTTTGTTGGCTTGAAGGAGAGAGAGCTTTGAAAACGATGTCGTTTCTTTGAACTTTGAGGTTTGAATATTGACACCCTTACTTATCGTTTCTTTCAAATTTGCCCCAAACATGTATTACAGAGCAAACCAATCTACCAAAATTACAGTTAAACCACATTTTGAGAAGAAAGTGGAAACTACAAATTGAATCAATGTCTCTTTCCTTGATTTCTGGTTCGAATTCGATTATACACTGCCCTAATCTTCATCTCCGTCGTCAATCTCCGTCGTTTTCGAGAATCTCATCGTCGCTGCCACTTTCTCTCACTTCCCGTAGTAAGCAGTCTTTTCTCCACCAGTTCCCTCGGAATCCACGCCCGATCAAAGTCGGCGCCATGGAGACGACGGCGGAGACCATTTCCGGCAGTGTTCCCAACGCTGCGATGAAGCTATTGTTCGTCGAGATGGGTGTGGGCTACGATCAGCACGGGTACGGGCAATTCTCACAATTAGCCTTGATATATATGAATACCGATTTGAAATTGAATATTGAAAATGTTGAAACAGGCAAGACGTGACATCTGCGGCGATGCGGGCTTGTAAGAATGCAATTTCTTCGAATTCGATTCCTGCTTTTAGGAGAGGTACCAAATTATCCTCCTTATGAATTATCTTCTCTTACTCTTTGCTCAACAATGAGAGTAACTAACTTAATCTCAAGCAATTTCGAAAGAGACTAACTTCGGCTTCCTTTTGAAAGTAGTGGATTTCGATATCTGTGTGTGTGTGTGTGTGTTGGGTTTGATCTGAGGATTGTGGTATTGAATGTGTTAAAGGTTCGATTCCTGGGGTTTCATTTGGAGAAATGAAGTTACAGATTAAGCTTGGAGTGCCTCGTTCTCTTCACCAGCAACTGGATCTTGACAAGGTCAAGTCTATCTTCCCATAGTAAGTTTCCCAAAGGCCTAACTTAAACCTCTACCATGAGTTTTCAAACAAAGTTGTTGCCTTTATAGAAGAAACTTGAGTTGAGTTTACGTTCCAAGTCGAATTTTTTTGCTTTGTAGTAGATATATAAAGTTACAAATACGGTTGGCAAGTTTGAGGTTGGAATGTGATTTTTAAGTCAAAACTTTCACATCACAAAGTACTTATTTGATTCTCTAGTGTTGGATAACATCTCTTAAATCAGATTTATTTTCCACAGTTTTCACAATCATTCCTTGTTTTTTTCTTTCAAGTGGGGAGATTCTTAATGTGGAGGTGGTGGATGGAGGACTGATTTGCTCAAGCGGTGTTCTAGTTGAAGAAATGGGTGATACAAACGAAGATTGCTACATAGTGAACGTCGCTGTTTACATCGGCTACTAGTATCTTCTTATCTTTTTGCGTTTGTCACCCAACTTTAGCATTGTCGAAATGGAATATATGTGAAAAACACACAAAAAAAGAGAGAAACTTGGAGTCACTTTTAGTTGTACATTCTTGATTCCAGAAGAAAATTGGTTTTATCAATATCTCAATTTCAGTTTTAAACACTGGTTTGGTGTTTGGTGCGTTGAATGAAAAAAGCGCGTTTGGAGCAGAACGCGTCGAAGTGTTGTTGTAGTCACTAAGCGGGAAAATTTCCCTCCTTTAAACCCTAGAAAGTTGTATCGCTTTAAACATCCCCTGTGAAACCAACAAAACAAATTCGCAGAGAAGATGAATGGGAAAAAGAAAGTTCGTTCGATTTTCGACAACTGCCGTGAAACTGCGTCTCAGGAGAGTTTTCTACGGAGATGCGGCTTTGCTCAACGAGGCGTTCCTCCAGATTCCGATCCTTCGTTAAACGACGGAATTGCATCTCACCGTGCGGCGTCTGAGACCGAGAGTTTAAACGACTCGGGGTACGACGAGGATTTGGTGGAGAGTCATGCGATTCGATTCGTCTCTCCCCCGGAAAGCGCGGATACCGTTGATTTAGAGGAGGATGCGACAGATCGGACGGTTCCTGTTGAATCGGAGGTTGGTGATTCAATTGCTTTGGAGAAATCTGGTGATCCGTCATCTTCAGGGCGTCGTAGGTTGGAATCTTTATCGAAAGAAGATGGAGGAAAGAAGAAGAAACTTAAAGTTCCTTTGAGGGATGTTGTGAAAGCCATAGTTATGAATTCGAGGAACCCAGAGGACGAAGACAAAGAGATTGAGAAGATGAGCTGCGTGCAGATTCTCATGAAGAAAGGATTCAAATTTCCTGGAGTGGTACAAAACCCATCAAAATTTTAAGGTGATTTCTACTGAATTTTCAAAATTTTCCCTAAATGAGACGAGAAAACAAAAACTTTGATTTGATATTGCTTTTGTGGTATCCGAACTATGCTTGTTATCTAGGGTTCTTCAAGGTTCTAGCTTTTCTGTACTAGTAGAAGCCATGGCCTTCTTGAGTTCATGTTGTGGTTCTTGAGGAAGATGGGAATGTAAATGTTGTTGCTTTTTTGTGCAATTGACTATCAAATCAGAGAACTTTTAAGTTTCGCAATCACTGTTCTTGGTTGAGGTAGAAGAAAAGGTTGAATCTTTATCATTCGACAGTCTAGAGTCATGTTCAATGCTACACTGATTCTCTTTGTTCTTTAGATTCATCTCTACTTGTAAAGTCGACATTCTGTTTGCCTTTTGTTTATGAATTATGACAATGTCAAAAATGCTTGCTTTATCATTTTGTTTTGGAATCAAAGTTAAGCAAAGAAGTCACTTTGTTATTTAATCTGTCTCTATTGGATTCACACAACACTAGACGATTTAAGATTATTGTTTGTCCCATACGAGGAAAGAATATAAAGGCGGTTTACACAATCCAACCTTCTTTATTCTATTGTAGTCTTCACACTTAAACTCCAACTGTCAGATTCTTTGCACACCTCCAAGAATGTAATTTACAGAACAAAGGTGTTTGTTTTGCGCTTTCTATGATATAGATTCTTACTCAATTCACATGGAAAGAGCTGCGTAGAGAAGCTGGTTCCAAGTATCAGGCAAACCAGGGAGGCACCAATGGCTACAATCGTTTCCTCCCTTTTTGTCACCATAACCAGAAGGATGAGCATCTTTTCTCAACTGAGACAGAGTGGTGATATCGAGCAAGAACACACGCTTTTTCATTGCATTCAACACTTTGGACACAACTCCTGCTTGTGGAGGCTGACCACTTGGGTAGTTAGATCCACTCAATGGCTGCATTTGCCCGTTACAATTCTTCCTCGGCTCGTTCCATTCTCTTCCCCTGTCACACACAAGAACGACATTAATCAACAAAGGTTTAGTGTTTAGATGCTAAATATTATCTCAAACCAAACCGTATATAATGACACAATTTAAATAGACTTACTCGTAGTGAGTGGGAGAAATGCCTTGGAAGAAAACTCGGGTTTTGGTGGTGTCGACGTTTTGATCAACCCATCGAGCCCAAGTGCTAAGTCCTTTGTAGAAAGCGTCAAGACGGTCCATGTCTTTCACCAAAGAAGACCCATCTCTTATATAATCCCACCTAAACTCACATTTACAACAAGAAAAATAAGAAAGATTCAACATAAAGTTATATATGAAAGATACATTGGGTTTAGTTAGATACTTAGATCAAAGATGTGGTTAATTAGTGGTACGTACCCTTGGGATTGTGCTCCTTTGTGAACCCACCAGTGCCAAGAGTTGAAGACAAGAACGTCCATGTTTTTCCAAGCATCAGCACCTCCTTCAACGGCTCCAAGGTTAAGCACACGTCCCACGCTCTCTTTGGATATGTCCACTATGTATGGTGTTCTATATAGGTATAACGTCACTCCATATTCCTGTTTTTCATAAATAATATTCAAGATTTTAGAAAGGAATTTTCAAAATACATGTTTCCATTAAAAAGAAATGGAAGAAAAAGGGTTTCACAGAACAAAGAGAATAGTAGAAAGTGGACAGAGAGAGCAAGTTGGACTTGGACTGTTGGAGTTGTTCTAGTGTACTTCCTTTACGTATTACGTCCTTTGTTATTTGTTTTTATTGTTATTTATAGTAGAATCTTTTTTTGAATTATTGAAAATAATACCATGAATAATAAAAGGAGACAAATTTTTCATAGCACAGTGGTAAAAAGATAGTAGTACCTTACGATTTGTTTTCATCTTTATGCAAATAAAAAGAAAAAGTTTGGAGGTCCGTAGCTTTCTTTTCTTCCACATAAAGTGAAGAAGACATGTCATTTCATATAGTTTTCAGTTTCGTAATTGATGAATGATAAAGAACTTTGCACAATTCTGGTAATTAAAAGTAAAAAATAGCTTTCGAATGACTAAAAAAAAAAAATCAAAATTGTCAAGAAAGAAGAAATTTTATAATGTTTCTATCGAATATCTTCTATACCTATAAATACTCCGGTATATATGTGTCACTTTTCTCATAATGTAGAGAGAATTGTAGATGAAGAATCAAATATATATTTTTTACTAATAAAAAGGAAATATTAGGCAAGTGGATGTGATCGAACAGAAACACTAACAACAATATGATAATAAGCATTATTAGCACCAAACAGCCTTTATCAATACTTTTCTAAATGACCCATATATTATGTAGTCCGTGACTAATAAGCATTCAGTATTTATGACAGCCACTTCATTTTCGTTAATGACAACCATTCCTCGTGAAGTTTGATAATTAGATTTTGTTTTTATCCCAAGTACACAGTTTTATGAATTTTTTTAAGAAAAGAAAGAGACCTGGAAAGTGAGAGTAGAGAGTGGGGTACGCTTGAGGAAAGTGGTCTTGGCGTTTGGTACCGACGCATGTATCATACATCCCAACGATTCCCACATGTTCAGACTCAGTGAGTCTCCCACGAACATGACTCGTTTCCCTCTCCATCTCCTCAGAAACGCCGCACCGTCGAACCTAATCACGTAATTAACAGTACATATACATATTTAATCAAATTTTTCACAACTTGAAATCTCTTTACAATATTCTTGCTTTAGTTACAGTAAGCTCACAAACTAATCCACTTAATCAGGCATAATAAAATATTAATATATACACCCCTTTTCATTTGTAGAAAGAATATAAAACATATCAACACCAACTTCTAGTAATTAAAAAAAAAACTTCTAGTAATTATATTTTCAATAAAAAAACATTATAGTAATTATAGAATATAGTTTAACATATATATAGGAAATGAATTACGTTAATAAAGAATTTGTGATTGTGACAAATAATGCATGTAATGAGATTTTCAAAATACTCTCCAAGCAAGTTCCTGTTAACCAAAGTGGTTTAGCTAAACTATGTTGTTTTGGTGAAAAAGTTTAAATTATACAAAAAAAAAAAAAAAAAAAAAATAGATAAGTGAATAATAAAGTAGAAACCTTGGGATGCTGCAAGACTCAGGTTGCCAAGAGTACTTGAGGAACTGTTTGTCTGGTCGACCGAACTTGAGACAGTCAAACTCGGCGTCGATGAAAGGACAGGTGGACGAATCATAGAAAGGGTATGAAGGATCGAAAACCCATCTCCCTTGGAACAAGTTACATCCTCCCCTCTGCTTCTTCCCTCTCAGCGACGACCTCCCATTGTCGCCGGAATCTGCCGTGCTGTTGCGGTGGTAGCTGTTTACGAGGAGTGTGTTGTCGGAAGCAAAGGACCGCTCGGCTCCCGACAAGAATGTGACTGTTAGAAGTGGAAGAAAAAAAAGGAGAGAGATGAGTTTGGAACCCATCTTTAAAAAAAACCAAATATCTACGGTTTTGGGTTTTTGTGAAGAAGCTTGTTGATGGGTTCAAGCTTTTATACACATATATGTGTACGTACTGTATATACATCTATATATAGTGTCACGTTTTTTTGATAAAAATATATACTATATCATCACGTAAAATATTTTCATGTAAATTACTCCTTAATCTGCTTCGGAATATTCTTTAATGAGCTTAGAAAAACATATCTATATGTTAATTTACACGATTCTGTCAAATCTCAAATTTATTTTTTGAGTACACTTATCTATTTCTGTTTGATTTTGAGTTTTTATAAAATAATTCATCCCCTAAAAAGTGGCTGATAATAAGTGAAAAAACTATGACATGTTTATTCCATGATTAGTTAGACGATGAAGAGAACACGATTCTGTCAAATTTATGTTTTGTGTAAATAATATATATTTCTATTCGATTCTGAGTCTTTATTCAGTAATTTATCCCCAAAAGTGGCTGATTATAAGTGAAAAAAAAAACTATACGTCTTTAACATGTTTATTCCATGATTAACTAGACTACTAAGAGAACACATGTTAAATATATATAAAGAATGCTTGGCTTTTATTTATTAATTTTGTTGTGAAAACAGGTTCTTACGAAGCTTCATAAATTTCATCGCATCACTTGCTAGTTGCTACGATCAACTTCCGTGTGTCTTTTTAATATTGCTTATTGCGTAATAATTGTCAGTATGTGGAGTACATTGTATAACAATAGATGTATATCTGTTTTGCACTGATAATGTGGGATTTGAGAAGGACGTGATTATGTCGTTGATCTCGTTTAGCAGCAATTATCAATCCTTTTTGTAGAGAATATTTCCCACTAAATTAAAATCGTAGAGATGTTAAGTCCGTCTCAATGATTAGTTTTAGCGTTAAATCAGCGCTATCAATTATACTTGATATGAGAAGAATGCAAAGTTATTAGTATAAGCTAATTAGGTACATACTATGCATCTATATGTGGTAAGTGGTGGTAATATTAAAATGACAGAGAAATCTGTATGTATCAAGCTCTTATTTCTGATTACCATTTACCAATTTGTTTTAGCTAGTGTTAATTATTAATATTAAAAACTGTTGTCCAAAAAATAAATCGGCTCTGATAGTCTGCATCGACAGTTGCATCGACAGTTCATTTAAAATCGGCGAGACACAGTTCATGTTAAGCTTTTGGGTCAATCTTTTTCTTTTAAAATGTAGAACAAGCAGAATCACTTTTTTGGAATAGAAGACAAAGATGAGTTTTCACCGTCGTGGGTTCAAAAGTCACATGAAGAAAACACGTATGTTGGGAGTGTACACTGTACATATAACATAATACATGTGTGTGTATGTATATGGCAGAGAGAAAAAGATCGTGGAAGGATTCATGAGTGGAAAGTGGAGCAGGCTTTGTCTTTGTCTTTGTCTTTATGGGGAATCTAAAAATCTTTTTATCCTTTTCTAATCTAGCCAATATAAAATAATAGTATTATAATTTTATGTATTTGTTTTAGGTAACTTTTTTCTGCAAGATTTGTGCACGAATAATTTTACGCAGATAAATTCCAAGTTCCAACAGTTAAAAAGGATGAAAAAATAGATATCCAACAATTTAAATTGTTTCGCATGAAAGAACTACTAAGTGGGGCATATTGAATCAATGAATTGGAAATATTTTAGTTATTGCAAGGGTAATTCATGTTAGAGAAGAAATTAGCATAATCCCTGAGTCCATTATCATTAGTAAAGTCACAAATCCAATCCAATTTTAGGCTAACATCTTCAAGAAAAAGGCAAGTCTTGAAGAGAAAGGCACAATCCATGGAGAAATGTAAATAAATCTTCATGCCGACTTAAAGAATGGAAAAAGATCCAAAAACGAGAGGAAGTTTTCCATATCGCGAAAGAGGAAGTTTTCCATCTCACCTTAAGGAGAATATTCATCATTCGGCCGACTTATCAACGCTATATATTGAAGACCCCCATTGGGGAGAAAAATCCGAAATCATCTAGAATCACTAAGCTTTCACATTAGCTTTTACTTTATCCTTTTGTTCATCATCACAATCTCGCTAGGCTTGTTAGCGAGATTGCTCTCTTGTAACCTTCTTGATAATCTAAGAGTCGAATTAAGCGTTCCAGTTTCCTAAACTCACATCTTAGATAGCCCGTCTTGACGAGTGCTATCTCGGATCTAACAATTGGCGCCCACCGTGGGGCTGGGAACGCTTTTCACTTTCAAACTCGAAGAAGTTCTAGGATTATAAGAAGACAGCTGATGTCAAACTTAGAAGAAAACACTCCCGACAGGAGCCCTCGCCGAAACCGGAAGGATCCTGACGATGAGAGAGACCCAGCAACGGTCAAGAAGGCCCTACGCCGAGACGAGAAGAGCCCATCTCGTCGGTCGACCTTGCCGACTCGAGGGGAAACGCTGTCGCCCTCCCCTCGTCGCGGCATGCCGCGACAGACCATCTCGCCATGACGATATCCTCAAGACGATTCAGACGCTCCTGAAGCCACTAACCGAGGGCTTCAAAGCGATGCGAGCCCAGCAAAAGAAGACCCAGGAGCAGGTCGATACCCTGACCCAAGAAGACGACGAGGAACCGTTGGACCCCGCTGCCGCGACGACCAACGGAACCACTAATCGTCCCGCACGAGTTAGCAGACGAGCAGTCTTAGAGCTCGAACGAATGCACCGTCGCCTCGACGAGTTCGACTCTAAAATCCATCGCATCACTAGCTCAGCCCCGGAGTTGACAAAAGCACTTGCCGACACCCGGAGGAGCCCACTCACAGCAAGGATTCGCCGAGTCCAACTCCACGACAGAGTACGACTTAAGATCGAACCCTTTGCTGGCGACCAAGACCCGAAGAAGTGGTTGACGGCATTCAACCTCGCCATGACGAGAGAGAAATATGACTCTCTCGACGAGAGGGATGCAAACTATTGTCAAGTCTTCGTCGAGCATATGACGAACGAAGCCCTTGTCTGGTTTTCAAACCTCCCTGCCGAGACGATTGATAACTTTGACGATCTGACCAATGCTTTTCTGAAGCACTACTCCATGAACATGACTAGGATCACCCGAAACATGTTCACTGTGACGCAATCAAAAGGCGAGCCCTTAAGAGAATTCATCGAAAGATTCAAGAAAGCAACACTTGATCTCGACGACATGCCAGATAGTGTCCCGCTCGAAGCACTTCGTAACGGTCTCTGGTACAACTCAAAGTTCAAGGAAGACCTATCGCTGAGACCATCGACGAACTTGGAAGACGCGCTCCACCGATCCCAAAACTACATTTTCCTTGAGGAGGATAAAGACTTCTATGCCGAGAAGCACGGCGTGAAGAGATCATTCCCTTTTGCAGAAGATGACAGCCCCGAGAATCACTGGGACGTGACCGAGATGCCGTCACAATCCGCTCCGTCAACCCCATCTCGTCTCCGCTCGACGACACCACGAATGACGAGTGCGATCATACTTTGTACTGTCGCTTCCACAGAAGAACTGGTCATTCTATCGACACCTGCACGGAACTCATCAGTAACCTCTTGGAGCAGTACGAGAAGGAAAACTTTCCGGTGGAAGACTTCTCCCACGTTCATGGATCTCATGAACTTGCGAAATTTCTGGTCTAGACGCGTAGCCTCGCGTCGTGCAAAAAAAAAAAAAAAGGTTGTTGTCAAGACGCGTAGCTTCGCGTCTCGTCAAAACGAACTACGAATGGCTTGATCCCGGCATGGGTACGTAGGCAGTCTTTTCACCAAGACGCAGCTGTAAAACTAATAAAAATAAAAAGCTATTTGTTTTTATTAGTTCGCTCAAGCGAACGCACCTTTCTGTGACTCCTTAAAGACGTTTCGTCTCAGCAGAGAACCCGAACAATAATTTTTTGTTCGAAATTGCCATGATGGAGAAGCATCAATCTCATTCTCAAAACCCCCCGAAGAAATTATGTCGTCAATAAAAGATCAGCAAATCGTTTCGTCGACAGACTCGTCTCGTAAAAGGCATCGCGACGAACGGCGACAAGACCCAGAAGTGGCCAAGCTGCGCCGCAACCTCGATGCAATCAGCTCCAAAGTGCACGACGCTATCAGCTCGGCACCCGAGATCGCCAAAGTCCTCGCCGAGACGAAAAGAAGTCCCTTCACTCGTCGTATCGCCGCGATACCTCTAAGGGATCAAACGGCTCTCCGTCTTCAGTTCTACAACAAGGGTGACGATCCTCGAGGCTGGCTAAGAAACTTCGAGATCGTTATGAAAAGGCAAAAATATGCCTCCCATGAAGAACAAGACGCAAATTACTGCCAAGTGTTCATCGAGCATATGAACAAAGATGCGACGAGCTGGTTTTCAAATCTTCCCGCCGAGACCATCGACAGCTTCGACGACCTCAGCACGGCATTCATGAAACATTTTGGCATGTTTATGTCGAAAGGCAGCACCAATCTTTTCACTATGGCACAGGGAAAAGATGAGCCTCTTCGCGAGTTCGTCGAGAGATTCAAAACAAGCAGCAGCAGAGCACTCAGACATCCCTGACGCGATAGGAATCAAAGCTTTCGAAAACGGGCTTTGGTTCGAATCAAAGTTGAAAGAGAGTCTGATGCTCGACGAACCCGCAACCCTCCAGGACGCTTTGCACAGTCCCAAAAATACGTCTGCGTCGAAGAAAGCAAGGCGCACCACTCAAAGATTCATGGAATGACGAAGGAGTCATCTTGGCACGCATCATCTCGTCAAGATTCATAAAAAGGAGGCCTCTAAGGAGTCTTTCACAACAGGACAGCGACGAGTCCAAATGGTGCAAACTCCATGGACGAGCCGATCATACTACAGAAGAATGTAGGCACGTCATGAGCTTGATACAAGAGTATAGCAATACTCTGCAAAGCCAAAGTAATGCTGAACGCCGCGATGAAAATCGACGAGCTGCAAACCAGCGCCGACGTAAAAATCCGTCACGCCAAGATGAAGGCGACGACGCCGAGAAGAACGCGCCTGCATCACTCCCTCACCAAGATGATCTGCCTCCGCCGCCACCGGTTCCTGACGTAGAAGCTCCCGTCACGACCGCCGCGTTAACCGCCGCCATGCAAGGCTTTACTGCTCAAATTGCTTCTCAATTCGCCCAGATGCAAGCTCAGCAGCAAAAGTACAACGACACGAAACCGTCGCATCCGTCTCGTCAATGGCAGAAACATCATCTCCAGCATGTCGTCACCTTCAAACTCATCAGCAACTTAAGGTCAGCATAATAACTTTATTTTTTAAATATTTAATAATCTCGTCACGGCGACACTTGATTCAACCGCAATCGCAATGCATGATTTATTTCGTCAACAAATGAGTAAGCAACACGCCTCTTCATCGATAAACAAATCATCGACGAACCTCTTCGTTGACGAATAATCAATGAATCCTACTTTGACGAGATAAGCAATCTCTGCATTGCCGAGATAAAACCTCGCATGGCCTCACATGTTCTGTAGGAATAAGTCGAAACAGCTAGCTTTCGCATTAATACGGCTAAGAATGACTTGGTCGAGTGATCTGCTATGATCAACAAACGCATCTCGAGTCATTCGTTTTGCATCGCCGAAATGAAATCAGAAGCATCTGAAACGAACTACGATTGGCTTGATCTCGGCACGGGTACGTAGGCAGCCTTTTTCACTAAAGGCACAGCTATGGATTAATAAAAATAAAAAGCCCTTTTTATCTTTGTTAACCCCAATGCAAGCACTTCTTACAGAACCTTTTCGGAAGGGTTCCCGTCTCGGCAAAGACCCTGAAGTGACAACTTCACTTTCAGCTGGTAACTGAAACTCTCACCGACGACGTTAGCAACGCAAGCACAGCATGCAAAGCAAAAATTCCGAAAAAACGCAACTCCTCCGACGTTCTGGCCCAACGTTCGGACGCACTTAAGCACAGCAACCCGTGGACTGATCACCCACAAAAGACGAGAGCACGCACCTCGCACGGTTCTAAGCCATACGGGCGAGAAAAAACCGCTGTCTCGTCACGCGTATCGGACTTAAAAGTCGTAGGCATAAATCGAGTTTCTAGACCTCGTCGCCGAATTATGAGGCCTACCAAGCCGCTGCATTCAGACCTAATACGCACAGGTCGGTGTCTCGAATGAGAGTCTTGACGAGCTTCGTAGCATCGTCGTCTCGTCACGACGCACTAGCACTGTCAAAGAGTAGCATCTCGGCATGACACACTTGAGGTTGACGAGTCGTCCCAGCATGTTGACTCATTAGTCTAATGACGATTAGATACTTGATTCATTGCGCTTGGTTGACGGCATATCGCCCCTCATTAAAAGATATAGTAAAAAGCTGGATTCTTTCATTGCGCTGTGAAATTATCAACTATATCTAAATTGCGATTTTCAATCCAAACAGCATATGGATTAAAGTCAAACTAAACTCGGTGAAGATGAAAACTCTATCATTCATCCCGTTGAAGTCGAAAATGGTCGCGTCAACACGAACAACGGTCGCGTCAACCCTCTATTGGTCCCAGACGCAGAAGCTCCAGTCACCAACGCCGCGACTACCGCGCCCATGCAAGATTTCGCTGTTCGAATCGCCGCGACGCAAGCTCCACATCACCAAAGGCGGACGAGTTATCCCTACTGGACGAACCCTTTTCCAGACGACGATAAGAAGCATCACGACAACAGGCTCTAATGCCGCGACGAACGATGACAAAGAAATCTCTTTGACCAGCTGAAGTCAAATCCGGCAACTTATTCTCCTTGACGAGCTGACGTCAAGTCCGATAGAAATTGCCAAAAGCACATTGCGGACAAGATGACGTCAACGTACTCTTTTCCCTTTTTATGGTTTTTATCCCATAGTGGTTTTTCCATATCAAGGTTTTAACAAGGCGGCACGAATCTAAAGTCAAAACGCAACATCGCACCGAAGGTGAGCTAGCATTGGCGCCACGCAATTGTTACTAATAGCTCTTAAGCTCTACTCTTATACATAAAGTCCGCCGAGATCAATCTGCATTTGACTCGACGAACTGAGGGGGGGACTTATTGTTAGAGGAGAAATTAGCACATTTCCTTGAGCCCGTCACAGTTAGTAACAATAGCAAGGCTCAGCCCGCCTTCATCATTAACCTCCTCAAATAAATGGCAAGTCTTGAGGAGAAAGGCAAATATTTGGGAAATTGTAAAGAGAGATATATGCCGACTTGAAGAATGGAAATAAATCAAGGACAAGAGGAAGTTTTCCAATTGGGAAAAGGAAGAATATCTTGAAGAAGCCAACCTCCTCTCCATATAAATAGAAGACCCCCTATTCCTTGAAGACGATCCAGAAATTCTCTGCAAACACCTAGAGCAATTGCTACTCTTTTCTTCTTTGTTCTCTTTATTTTCGTATTCCGTCTCGTCGAGGCCTGTTCGACGAGACCCCCTCTTTATAATTGCATACTTCACCTCGCCAAGCCTATTTGGCGAGAGCACCATCCTTGTAGTCCTTTGATATTTCTTCGAGTGAAAATTCTCAGTTCCCAAAAAACTCAATCTTTGATACCCACTTTTAAGTGTGCTATCTCAGATCTAACAATTCATACTAATCTTTGTAGTTTTAGACTCACTACAATTGATGTTCTCATATGCATAAGCTAATATTTTCTGTAGGGAATTTATCATAATTGTTGAAACAAAATATTTCTATCATCTAATGTTAATTATCTGACGAAAAACCAAGTACGTTTATCAAGAAGAGTAGGATTTTTTGGTGGACATTCCGTTGGTGGTCTGCGCTCTGCCGGTCACGGGAACATTTTAATCATTTTTCATCAAGCTTCACATGCTTTTACGCCATCTGTTGTGGTCATCTCCATTATTTTATTTTGCGTCGAAAACCATAGAATTATACAAGATTTGGACAGTATACAATACAGCCAGGTAACATTGGCTGTTTCCTACTAGTATTTATTTGTTTGGGTTTCTTAAAATATATGTACATAAATTATACTGTATTTGATATTATTTTTGTTCACGAGATTTCACATGTACAAACGAGATTACCTAACTACTGAAAAAAGTTCATATCACTATTTCAAAATAGGGATACAGTTTATTTTAACAAAAATAAAAAATTCAAAATAGGGGAATATACATAAATATCAACTGATATTATAGAAATATATGTAAATTGAAGAACTTTTCAAAACAATCAAAATCCCCTCATTACAGAGGATTATATCGTTTCAGTGGTAGTATACTTAAATACCAAATTGATTGGTTTTGTTTCAAATGCTATATACTCCCTTTGTTCCACTATATAAACTGTTTAAGGTAAAATATAAAAACTAAGAAAATTAGTTTTTAAAAGTAAAGTATTACTTAATATATAATTGAACCGATCATGAAGAAAAACTACAAAATATAATTGGACACACAACATCCAATAAAGTAAAAAGTGCAAAACATCTTATAATTTGGGACAATTTTTTTTTCCAAAACAGCTTATAATATGGACAGAGGGAGTATTACCTTTCGCGAGTTCATTTTGTAATGTATGTGTTTTCTAATAATTAAACAAAAAAAAACTGAAATAATTTCTTTGCTGTCAAGCAAACATAAACTTTAACCAACCAATCATTCCCCTATTAACAAATCGTATCATATATTGCCTAATAATTTCGACTGTCATCGTCACGCAATGTTTTCAACTTTAACTTATTAGCTCGAGTGACTCGATTTTAGCCATTCAACAATCAACACCCTTACAACGAGGGACTCGATTTCAGCCAAAGAGAACGTAAACTTATTATCCATGACTTCAATATTTTGATTCCTCCACTAGACTACTACTAATACTATCTGCTATAGTTACAAAGATAAAAATTAAAATATAGTTGCTTTGATTACAGTATATAATGCTATACTTTATCAGAGAGAAGAATAAACTTTCGGATAGTTGTAAAAAAAAAAGTTATATATGAAAAATGTGTATGTCTGGGATGTCACAAGTCATAAGTTACAAACTTACAAACATCGTCGTCTTGAGTTATCATAAACATCGTTATCGATTTGTTAACGAGAGATTGTGAAGGAATCTTCAAAGGAAGTGTTTGAGGAATGTGACACGTAGGGAATTTCGGATAATTCATTTCTTTTTGACTACGTTATTTATTGGAATGTATTTTTGACTATTTAGTTCCCAAGAAAGATTTATTAGAAATTAGACTTTGTACTATATCGTTGTCTCTATGTGACGGCGGCTCTCATATGACTTTTTATAGTTGATAAAATAAACTATACAAAAAGAAAAAAAGGTTCAATAACTGTGGATTAGTGATTGACAAAAAAACACTATCTGGTTCAATTTTTTTTTTAAATGTTTAGATATCACATAATTATCAAAAATGCATCACACATATTTGAAACGAATCCGAACATGAACCATCGAATTCTGTTAGTTTTAAATATAGTGAATATGAAAAATATAATAGAAAGATAATCTAGTAGAAATGTTGATACAATTACTCAAAGTAGATCATACAAATTTAAAGGGAAATTAAGCATACTGTTATATATTTATTTACACAAGTCCGAATCATGTTGGTAACCTAAAATACATATGAAATAGATGAGCCGTATATGAGGCTCGTTTATTGGGTCCACACACGTTGCTCCAATGAGTGGGTTTTCGTTTGGTGACCAACGTTTGCTTCCAGGCAATGCTAACCCAAGTTCCGTATCCACTAATACATCTACTTTACTATATACAATATTTGAAATTTGCAATCTGGATCATCCGGTTAACGTCTTGACTTTGGTTGTTTGCTTTTTTATATATCAAATTTCAGTATATAGTTAGAGAATTGGATGGAGATATCAGGATGGATTCAACTCAAGGTTTATTAACCAAAATATGATGATAACTTGAGATAAGTTTTCGCTAGACATTTTTTTTCCGAGCCATTACGAAATTTAAATGCAAGATGTCTTATACTGCAAGGGGTAGTCATTTGAGACTAGGTATTCATAATCATATATAATACATTACGTAATTTAAATTGATTTCAATTAAGTATAAAACTATATCCGGAATCTATATGTACATTTTTAAAACTGTCACGTAGGGAAGATTCCTTGTCATTATAGATTGCTGGCTGTGCTGAACATGTTGGCCAATATTAGATAAGATATGTCTTTCATCATACAAGTATTAGATAACTAACACTAAATTATATAGACAATTATGCGCTATCCTAAGTGTGACTTTTTGAGTGAAAACATAACATAATTAACAAATATGGAAAAAGATTGGTTCCGCAAGTTCCTCTCCCTTCGACGATCAATTATTTCACTATCAAGCTCATAATTGATCAGTGATGGACTATTTTACTTCAAACTGATTTTTGTATCAAGCACGATAGGTTGTAGGAATCCGAAAGAAATGAAAGCTCGGAAACTTTACGTATGTGATCAGGTAGTTAACGAATCTTTATCAATCAATTCAATGATACAGTAAAACCTCTATAAATAATAATATTGGAACTTTGAAAATTAATTATTTTATAAAATTATTATTTTATCGATAAAATAATTATTATTATCTTATAGAAATATTTTATCAAAAACAATAAACTTTATATTTTTTTCATTTTTTTTTATTCAAATTTTTCTTATACTTTGTTACGTAAGAAAGTAATTGTGGTTTCGAGAATTCTTCACAACTTTTGGCTGCATGTTGAGAACACATCACCAAAAATTATTGATGTAATAAGAAAAATTCGAGATGAGCTCTAATGAGAATCCAACTTTCATAAAAGATAAACTACATTGGAGTCATATTTTACTAAATTGTCTTAGATATATATGCCTAAGTTTTGTAATTATTATTTTAGCTTATTGTTGGGACTATATTTTTACATAAAAGTTTCAAAAATATTATTATTTTTTCATTTTATCGTATTTTGCTATTTTTTACATTGCCCCAAGTTGGGACCGGAGAAATTTATTATCTTATAATGTATTATTTTATCGAGTATTATTTTATAGAGGTTCTAATATATAAATATATATATTATAATTCATTTTAGTGATAATTATAATGTTCCAATCGTCTTTACAAGTGGGCTTCTACGCCATCTCTCTATCTGTTGGTTCCACTCCTGTTGAACACTAGGTGTGTTGTTTTCGGGAAGTTCTAAAGAATTATTTACTATGTAATTATCATTTGATATTTTTTTCATATTTTGTTTCTTACTCAAACGATGCCCTAAATCTTCCGGTACATTACCTATCACTTTACTCCTATCACTTTACTGTATGTATGTCTTACTATGAAGTTTTTTTTTTTGATAGTTAACCGAAAAGATAAATGCATTTAATAATATAGATAGTGAAATCAATTATGTTATAGTTATAGTCTCGTGATAATTTTACTGTGATTTAATGAAAGTTAATATGTGGAGAAGTCGGGTAGGAGCTAGCTATTGAAGATTTTGGTCAGAATAGAACTACGATCATATGCAATCATGAATAAGATTTAGAAATTATCTTCATCACGAGATATTTCAATTACATGAGTTAATCTAAAATGTTGATTTCATTTAGTCAAATATGAACTCTACGTACACTTTATGAATACGTTTATGTTATAACTTTAACGAAAATATAAAAGTATTATAGTTATTTTTAAAATCTCTTTTTGGATTTTTATATACGGCTTTTTGTGAACTGAAAATTGGGATATAATGATGACAAATAGAAAATGGGGAAAATGAAAAAAGTCAACCAAGTTGTGAAGTAGTGGAAGTATGTGGTGGGATTTATTAACCAACTTACAATACATCAAACATATGCTAATGTCTGTCTTTGTTACGTAACTGTGACTCCATATATGACAATACCTCTCTTTTTCGATCACATCATCCATAGACCTGTCGGTCGATTTAACAAGGTAACAACTCTTCTATGTACATATGTGAATGTGGTTTGAAAGTATTACCAGTTTAGTTTTTCCATCCATTTGCTCTGTTTTCGCATAATTAGCAAATCAAATCAAATACATTTTAAACATAAAAAGTGAAAAAGTAATGTTTTTGGGTACAATAATTAATTCTGCTTTCAAGAAAACAAAGAAAGACACAACACACGTGAAATGCGAAGGTCAAACGTTTGACGAATAGATAGGCCGGATGCAACAAGATCTAAAATAGATAGGACAAAAGTCTTGATGGAACATGACTTGTACCATTTGGTAGATAACTACAAGAGATGTATATGCTCATTTTTTCAGAAAAAAAATGTAGACCATGTCCATTTAAGACTCAATTCTTTTTTCGTTTTTGTCCTAGAACTCATAACTCTTTGGATTGGACTTCTTTGGTTCTACAAGACCATAAAAACAATATCTCAAGACCATCACAGAATTGAGCTGTGCCTGTGATGTTATCCTTTAACTGTACGTGTAAATGTGTCGCTGTGTGTTTGGATCTGATAGGTTTTGATCAGGCCGTTTGAGAAAAGCCCATTAACGAAAAGCCCATGATTTCCTTTGTCTTTTTACAGTCTGCTTCGTACGTAACTCAAAGGTCAAAGGCATTACGTTAAGCAGCCAATACTAAATTGCCACGTGTATTCTGACGGTCATTTATCATTCTTAATCGAAAGGAAACCCCGCGAGAGCTCGATTATTCGTTTAAGGAAATAAGAAATTCAGTTTCGTTTTCTCAAAATTTCGCCTGAAATTGGGAGAAATCGTCCGTTATGGCATCAAATCCTCAAAGAGGCGGTGGTTCCCTTTACGGCGGCGCTGCTCTGTATAGATCCAGGTATGACCGTATGATTCTGTTATCAGTGACATCGATTCCGATTTCTTCTTCCTCGGATCTTCTTCTGGGCATAGAAAACTAGGGGTTTTATGGTTAATCGAGTCTTAACTATTATAAAATTGGTTGCAGAGATGGGCTTAGCACTAGAAACGCTACAGGCTCAGAAGAAATCCAGCTGCGGATTGATCCAATGCACTCTGATCTCGATGATGAGATCACAGGTCTCCATGGCCAAGTGCGGCAATTGAAAAACGTTAGAAACCTCTTAATTTCGCTTTTTCGTTTTGAGTGCCAAATGTATTCTGATCGAATTGTATGTTTGTGGATTGTGGTTTGTCTTCCTTTTCTCTCTTTTAGTTATTGAATAAGTGTTTTTTGAGATCTGAAAGGTACTATGCTAATGTACAGGTTTATATAATAATCAGTGTGTTTGTGGTTGTTTAGTTGATTTACCATCTAAAATTCACTGTTGTTCTTGCTTATTGTTTTATACCATACTTGTTGAAAGAATATCACTAGACATGGCTTATTTTTGATGCAGATTGCTCAAGAAATTGGATCAGAAGCCAAGTTTCAGAGGGACTTCTTAGATGAACTGGTATGATGTTTGATTTCGCTTAAAGTTTTGCTCACTAATATCAGAAACTCTTAGGCACTTAACATCAGAAACATGCGTTTAGTATCTACCTTGTAGGCGAATCTTCACTGATTAGATACATATAGCATCTCTGATTATAGGTTTCCTTTAACTTTCTAAAAATCCACAGTTTAGATTATGTTGTGACCTATACATGACAAAGAACTAAAATTTGAATATGTGAAATTGCAAAAAAATATACATGAAGTGTTGTTATATGGTTTCTTTATAGAACTTTCTTTGCACATTTTTAGCTGAAACTTATACACGAAAGCTTAAATGGTGTGTTCTTATGACAGCAAATAACATTGATGAGAGCACAAGCCGGCGTGAAGAACAACATAAGGAAACTGAACATGAGCATCATACGTAGTGGCAACAACCACATCATGCACGTTGTTCTTTTCGCGCTCCTCTGCTTCTTTATTCTCTACATGTGGACCAAGATGTTCAAAAGATGAGAGACTCATGATGAAACCTCAAAAAGAAAAAGACCTTGATGAATGTTTAGAAAATTTGTAGAAATATCATCTAGTAAACAACAATTTTTGTGGTTATTCTCGTTCCCTGTTATATAGAGTGCTTATTTCGAACATTTTATTACATATAGCAAAAAATTTGTCACAGAAACCACATGAGATTCTCAGATTCTTCAGCACCCATTCTTCTGAGACCGGTTCAAAACTTAAATTTTCGGTCCAGACCGGTTATTAACATATGAATCACATGTAAGACACGTGGCTTATTTTAATTGGTTTTCCGAGTAAGCTTACACTGGTAGCATCCGTAGAGGATAATTGCTCTGCACTGTATGTAAACTTATCGGAGAAAAGAAAAATGGGAAGAAGAAGATAAGACGAAGTGGGAAATTTCAATGGCTTCCTTCTCCACATCCGTTGTCGCTTCTTCGGCTTCGTCGCGTTTATGGCAACCTGCTTCCACCGAGAAAGTTAGCGCTCCTTCTGCTTCGATTTCTCTCCGTACCGGTTCGAGAAGGAGCCCGTTCTCTCTCAGCTCTTCCGCTTCCGCATCCGCTTCTTCTCAGCTTCTCCATTGCTCGTTTCTCTCTTCGTCTCTCTCCCTTTCGTCCAAATTCTCTGGTTAGTCTCTTCAATTTTCTTGTAAAGCTTGTATTTGATCTCTCCCCAGTTTTCGCTAGAACCCAGTTTGTGTTGTCTATGAAGAATTTAGGAATTGTGTGAAATGTTGTCATGCGAATTCGATTATTGGGTTTAGGAAGTCAAGAAATTTTTGAATTTCCCTGTAGAATGAATTATTAGTTAGCAAGTTTAAGCCTTGATTTCAGATAGAGAAGGATTTCCTGAAACCCAATTTGCTCATGTAGTTGCAGCCATAAAGATGTTCTTTAATCTTTACTATCAAGTTCATAAATATTGCACATTTTAGCTCAGTAGATTCCACTGCATCCCATATTCCCACTCTATTTCTCAAACCCCAATTTGCTCATGTAGTTGCATCCATAAGGATGTTCTTTAATCTTGTACTATCAAGTTCATAATTATAGCACATTTTAGCTCAGTAGATTCCACTGCATCCAAAGTAGCAACCCTGTTTCTACATGTTTCCTTGTATGTTAAGCCTTTGAAGTTTGGAACAATGAATGTCTGTCTCTGATGCTAGCATGGAATCTGTCCTTGTCTTTTTCAGGTTTGTCCGTTGCGTTTGACATCAGCAGTGGAACATGTGGAGGGAATGGGCAGAAACGGAGAGGCCTTGTGGTGAGAGCTGGGAAAGCTGCACTGTGTCAAACGAAGAGAAGCAGATCAAGAAAATCTCTGGCTAGGACTCATGGTTTCCGTCTGAGGATGAGAACCACTAGCGGCAGAGCAACCATCAAGCGTCGACGTGCTAAGGGACGCTGGAATCTCTGCCCTAAGTCCAACCCTAGCAGCGGCAAACGTGCTTAACTGTTTCTCTTTTCTCTCTCTGTAATCTTGTTTGATATGTGCTTTTTCTTGTTTTTTTTCTGCTAGAAGATACAATGAAGAGCTCTTTTCCGAGTTTAAACTCTTTGATTCGTTATGAAATCAAATCTTCTTGGGATCCATCACTTGCTTCGTTGGACTTGAACCTAATCTAAGCCTCAGCTTCAAATCCAAAACAACTTAAAGGATCTTGATAGAAGCTAGCTTTCGGATCCACACTCACAAACGTTCATTATAAGTTTAGGGGTCCAATCTTGTAAGATTTTACCATAGGTCGCTTTAAGTAATAAATTAAAACTATATAATAAGATTTTTGAAAGCCAATTTGGTTTTAGAGAATTTTTTATTTTATGAAAACCAATTTTTTTTAAGAGATAAAATTAAAAATAAGATTAGGGAGGGATCAGATGGTGTAAAAAAGAGAGCGCCCAGTTGTCGTAACAGGCTTTGGGGCGGAACGCTCTTCTCGCAATAAAAAGCGAGTTTCTACCATTCCTCATTTCCCGTTTAACTTGCCTGAAGGATCATATTTATCACTGCTCACACCTCTTTCCGTTTTATACACACGTCACTACCTTCCTCCATAAAGAACAGAAGATTTATAAATACTCAATGCGACAAGATCTATCTTGGTGAGTGCGGAAGTGATAGATAAATCTTTTTGAGAACGTCTTGTGGCGTTGATAGATAAATCTTTTGGTGAGTGTGGAAGCCCACACAAAGATTATTCTTTTTGGGCAAAATTTCTATCAACATTTTTTGTTAAAACCCAAAAGAAATTGCATAATATCAAGAATAAATCTTCCAAAAATTTCTAAAAAGATAAAGTTCGAGTTTCAGTTTGACAACCACCAAATAAATATGGAATTAATCCTTATAATATCCTGCAAATATTCCTTCTTTGCGCGTCAATTCTTAGTGAGCAAGTCTCTTCCAACTGTAAACAAAGGCCTCACCTCGCTTATTATTCATTCACTTCAAAAATCAAACACTCCAGCAAATCTCCTACATCTTTTTTTCTTTTTTCTATAAACGTAAGTCTCAAGAGTATAGCGTAGAACAATAGTTCGCAGATTCTATAATTGAGTGTCGCGACTATAGTCTCAGGTAGTTGTATCATTGAATTCAAAAATCTCATCAAACTGCTGGGAGATATATTGAGTTAAAAAAAAAAAATCTCGTCCCTACGTATTCATCTATTTCTTTAAAGATTTTTCAGTCGTTTTATTAGTATACTAGATTAGGCTCCGCGTATACGCGGGTTTATTTTAATATAATTGAAATAAATCATAGGAAAAATAATAAGTAAGTAGAATAATATTCAAAATATTATTTTGATTATTATAATTATAATATTTAATTATAATTGATTATTCTATTTAAAAGATTTCGATTGATGAAATCTTTTTCATAATATTGTTTTACCTACCAAAAATAGAAAATTAATCTATTTAGAATTAGAATATCGGTCAATCAGATATATTTTTAATGTTATTATTTTGTTAATTTTCTATTTATCATATTTTTTGTTCATTTTGTTTTGCCTCGGACCATTATAAATTTTCTTATTCATAATTAGTTAGTTGTTTTAAAATTATTTTGTTAGTTTTTTATTTATCTTATTACATTTTTCTAATTTTCTTTTGTTAACACATGTTATCACATGATCATATATTAGAAACATTTTGCGACAAAAATTTTCAATTTCTACCCAACTTATCTAAAGTTAAATATTATTCATTAATATCTTGAACTTTAAAAAGTACATGATTTTTATTTTGTAATAAAAGAGAAATTTTAAACAAAAGATAAAACCACATATATAAATTAAATCATGAAAGGTATAACTTATTATATATTGTTTTTTTTGTTTCCTTTTCTTAATGAGAATATGTTTTTTCTCCTTTTCTTAACGGATGTAACATTTTTTCTTTTATTATTTGTTTCATGTTTTTCCTTGAATTGTGTTTTCCTGTTTCAAAAAAATGTAAAATTTTAATGTTAATCTATTTATAATTATATATATATTTAATGTTTAAAATTTCCTTTTTATCTTAATTTTCGTTTTTCTAATATTTAAATAAAATAAATAAATTTTTTTTTTTAAACACGTGTCACGATCTTAACGGACATAAACTTAAAAGTGACACATGTTGCGGTGATGAATTTTATAAAAATCCTACGTGTCACAACCACGTCGCGTGCATCCAGCTTTATATAATAAGATAATATTTCTACTATAAGATTTCATTGTGTTTTTTCGGTCCTACAACCACTTCAATACAAATAATATAACAAAATTAGTCAAGCAACCGGATAAAAACCCCACTGAGCCAAACCACACATGCCTTCAGGCCACTCCACATCTCTACGAAGTCTAATGTAACCCTTCTCTCCCCAAGTAGTACCCCAAGAGTTCTTAGCCAACCAGTACTTGATCCCTTCCTTTGTCGTTCCGTACCCAACCAACGTCACTGCATGACTCACGCTGATCCCACAGTCGGGCGCATCGAACACTCCCCCTGAGTAATGCATGAAACTCCTCTCGTTAATCAGCACCGCCACGGGCTGTCTCGATACAGCCTCGAGCAACGCACGCTCGTTGTTCTCCGGAACTGTTTGGAATCCACTGATCTGCATGGCGGAGCCGGTGTTGGACCGGCAAGTCCCCACTTTCACCTGGTAAGGGTATTGAAGATCTGTAGTAACGCCTCCGTTTCTTATTATGTACTCGTAAGCTTCTGGAACTCTTCCGCTACTGCAACCATCGTTAATTTTGTTGCAGTCTATAAGCTGCTGTTCGGAAAGTGACATGAGTTTTCCTCGTGAAATCCTTGTCAAAGCTTCCACTGTTGCAATCGCTACGAACGCCCAACAGCCACCTGCCCATATATATTGATAACTTCATTGTTACCAAAAACAAATTGTATGGTAACCCTGAACCTTGAATGATAACCCTAATTGTTGTTTGCGGATTTTCTTTGTGTTTGTGATATATATAATTCCGGAAATAACTTACCACATTGTCCTTGCGCTTTGACAGGTGTTACAGCTCCTTCCATTGTCCAGTCTTTGCTTGCGGCGACGACGTTACTGACGTTCCAGTTCCAAGATGGCATCGTCTTATCAACCACTTCAGATAGTGAGGTTAGGTTAACGCCATTGAGACCGGTGTGGGTAGCAAGGAACTCCTCTTGGGTCAAATCGGTGAATTCGTTGACACCAAGTTTGTAGCTATGATTCTCATTATTATTGAAATTCTCAATGAATTTCAAGTTTTTCTCAAACACTTTAAGCCTCATCTGTTTCTCGGATTCATTGCTATAAACTCTAGAGAATTGAATCATCCATTGTTGGTGGTAGTCAGCAACTGATGACTCGTGAAACGTGGCACGGGATGTGGCTTGAGAGATCCTTAGATCCATGGAAAGAATGGTTAGAATCACGAAAACATACGATATTACCAACACCATTTTGGTTTTGATGGATAGGAAAGATCAAAATATATGAAAAAATACACTAAGAATTTGTCCCCTTTTCTTTTCTTAAAGAAAGAAATATATAAATGGTTTGTGTTGTGTTGTGGTGAAGAATTGAGAATTTATAGAGTTTAAAATGAGAGTTGCTACGTGAAGCAATAGTTTTCTGACTCTATTGTGGTTATATAGTATGTAATAATAAAATCTTGCTGCGTCATCTTCAGAGAAACACCTTCAGTTGTATGATCTACAAAATATTACATTTAATCTACTTTAAATAATTTACAAGTATCTTATAACTAACTGTATTCCTTTGTTTTTGTTTCAGTATCATTTTTCATTTACCACTATTATCACTAGATAATATCATACCATATTAATCATCACAATAGTCAATATTCTTATCTCTTATTTGAGATGTATATAAATTAAATAATTGATTACTCTATATGACAAAGCCACCTGTCGTTTAGTTACACTATCATACTATTATTTGCAAAGTCAGAATTTCGAATGGAGACACCATGTTAACTCTCAGCCGCAGAATTACATAAGTACCCTTAATGAAAATCTTGCAAATATCTTTTCTTTTGCTAATCAATTTTAATCAAAATAAAAACATATGCGGCCTACTAATTTATATAAAGTGATTAATAATCGCAGAGAAAATCTTTAGGAAACCCTAACTTTTATAAATTTTTACAAAAACCTATATATACAAAGTTGTGACTAACAAGGACGGCCATCTTATTTGTGCTCTTCGGTTTACGTGTACATCTGCACATGGTATTAAACGGAACCCTAGCGGGTTTTGAACTCAGGCAGCTCTGGAATTGAGTATAGATGAATCTCTTGGGTATGAAGCTTTGAAATTCGAGTGAAACTATGGATTCTGATAAGATTAGGTCATGGCTATGCTGGATATTTGAGATGATCTGCACATGGTATTAAACGAAACCCTAGCGGTTTATGCAAGAAGATTCAATAAGAACAGCTTATTCATCTTCTACGTGTTATTTTGGTTTTCTTCTCAAGTACAATTTATGAGTTCAAAGGTCTGATATGGAACCATCTACAAACGGTACAAACGGTATGTACAATTTCCATATGTTCATACAAATTTAACCTACTGAAACCTTTATATAATAATAAGAGCCGTATTTAATAAGATACTGTAGATAGCTATATTTGATGCGTGTTCTTTCTTTCATGTATTATGTTATATTAAAATCAATTGTTTAATTTATGGATTGTAATTAAAATCGTTTTCTATCAACTTAATAGTTAGTTTTTGTTTTTTTTTTGTTTTAATCAGTACGACAGAAGAGAACTATGGTGAGTATCAAGAAGAAGAATATGCTGATTTGAATGGTTTAAACGATGATCTGACTAATGAGGAGGGTGAAGAAAACGATTTGGATGGTGATCAAAACTCAGGGTGTGTTTCTTTGATTAAGGATAAGAAGATATTGCTCCTAATCCTAGATTGATCACTAGGTACGTTAATGGTTTTTGGGTAAACATTTTGACTCCAGTTTTGCATTATCTATCGAAATCAAATACATCCGGTTTCGATGCTGTCTGTGGTAAATATCGCCAAACACAAGAATATTTTGGTTCATATATACAAACTGCAAAAGTTTGGGGTCTCACGACTTGGCCGAAAAAGTTACGACTCTGCCATTATCGGCTAGATCTTGCATGTTTGGACCAATGATTCCGAGTCTTTACACAAAAAGAATGAATTTGTTGTTTCTGATGAAGAGGTATGTCGTAGTATTTATATTTGTTATATATGTATACAGTCCATACTGATACTAAGTATATCAACCGACAGATTAGACTGAGTTTAATGGTGATTTTAATGGTGATCTCTTCTTCGCTTGACGAAGATTTACTAATAAAAAGAGGTGAGATATTTCAAAACTTTTTCGAACCATGATTTGGTTACCTTGGGAATATATGAACTCTAATACCATAAACATAGAAGTCTTCGATACATACATACATACATATATATATATATATATGGTATTTTCAATTTTCAGTTTTTTTTTAATAATGTGTTACTACTTTTTCCCTGTCTTCTCTTTAGTTGTAGTTTAAAGGTATATTATACATAATTTATTGGTTTTGTTTTTGTCTTATCATGATTATCAAGGAAAAAAAAAAAGAAGAAGAAGCTGATGATCGTTGTGATGAACAAGATGACGGTGATAAGTTTTAGCATCACATACAAGTTTATTAAATTATGTTTGCTTTGAGTACTATTATTTAGCTGATTTTGTTATAATGTTGAACTAGAAGTGCATATCTGGGAATTAGGTTTCCACCAGCTGAATGCAAACTTGCAGATTGGTTAGTGCCACAAAGTAGGAAGGTGCTTCTTTTCTTTTTAGATTCCCTCTTTTGTGTATTCTCCATAAACTTTTTTTCTTCCCTAATCATATTGGACAAGTGTTGTTTCCAGTGAGTATGTGTTAAATAATGATGAAAGAGACGATCAAAGCGATGGTAGTCTAGGGAAATCTCTTAGCTCTGTGTTCCATAGAATCCCTCAATACGATATATACAGCCTTATAGGAGTCTAACATCATCTTATGAACAATGCAGGAGTCCATCACCTTAATCATTAACGACGTGGGAGTCCAGATTATCGTAGACCAAAAAAGTCATGCTTATGATCGATCGATACGGAATGCAAAAGAAAGTGGCTTTGGCTTCTCAATGAAGAAAAAGAAATATGAGAAGATCGAGAATAAATAAATAAAAGAAAATGAAGAGAAAGACAAAACTGATAAATTAATAAGATGTTGTAATAAATAAAAAGATTGATGATATAAAGTGATAAAGAATATAAAAGGAAATAAGAAGAAAAACCTGAATAAAAATAATGAAAATATGAAAGTTGGAAGACGAAGACGGAAGAAACAAAACAAACAAAACAAAAGAAGAAAAGATCGAATTGAAGAATATGTGAACAATAAATAAGTTTGAAAAATAAAAAGAGAAAAAAAATTAAGAAAAAGAACACAAAGCCAATTCAAAAATAAATTTTAAATAAAAAGAAGAAAACGAATAAAAACCAGGAAATAAAAAGATGACGATGAAGAGAGAAGAAAAGAAAAAGAGAATAGAAAATTTGATAAGAATAAGAAAATAACGATAGAAAATGAATGAAAAAAATATGAAAAAGTAAAAGAAAAAGTAAAACAAGAAGAAGATAAAATGGTGTTGAGGTTTACGATGTACGGTTTATATTAATGAGCGTAAAATTTAGTTTTTGGTGCATTTTAAAAAATTTGAATACACTACATTACCTATTAAATTCAAAAAACAATCTTCTTTTAAGAAAAATAAATAAAAATAAAAGCAAATTCATAACCAATTTGTAAAATGTGGGGGTTGTTGTGGGGTTTGGTGTGCGGTTCAGGGTGGTGGGGAGGGGTGTTATAATGTGGGGTTTGGGTTAAGGGTGTAGGGTTGTTTAGGAGGTGGAGTTTGGGTTTAGGGTGTAGGGTTGTCTAGGAGGTGGAGTTTGGGTTTATGGTGTAGGGTTGTTTAGAGGGGTGGTGTTACACTGTTGAGTTTGGGTTTAGAGTGTATGGTTTATATAGATGGTTGTAGGGTTTAGTTTTTAGTGTATTTTTTTTAAAAATTGAATTATTATGGAATAATTTTATTATTAAAAATCATAGATTATAAATTTATATCTACCTTTCTACATTACATTCACAAATAGAAAAAAACTAAAATAGTTAAAGCACATCCAGAATCGAAAGATAACAAAACCGATAGATTTTTAAAAGATCTCGGCTATATAAAGAATTAAAGATAAAAACTATTTCACAAATCCTTGAAAATCTAAACTATCGAATGAATTGATAGGTGAAATACAAGACATACACAAGAACGGATAAAAACACGAAGATGGGAAATTTGGAGAAGAAGAAGAAAACTCGAACATGAAGAAACATAAATCAAATAAGAAAAATGGAATGTGAGGAGAAAAAATATAAATAAGAGATAAATAAAAACTAAAATAAAATGACGTGAGAGAAAACAAGGATTTAAAAATAGAGAAAGGGGGGAATGAGGAAAAAGAAAAAGAGGAAAAAGAATGTAAAGAAATTTAGAAAGAAAAAGAAGAATAGAGTTGGAGGATATGAAGACACAATAAAAGATTGAATAACGAAAATTAGAAGAAAAAGAAGAAGAAAAAGATGATGAGAACGAATATAAAATTGAAAGAAAAAGAAGAAGATGAAATAATTGCAGAAGAATAAGACAGAGAAGAAAACAAGAAGTGAGAAATCTTTTGTATCTCTTAAAACGAATGAAGAAGATTATGTAGAAAAAATGTGAAAGAGAAGCAAAAAGAAGACAAATCAGTCAAGATTACAAAAATAAGAAATCGGCGAAAACAATGAATACAAAAAAAATTCTACTACTTATGTTATTAAAATCTTTAATTAGTTAATGTGTTTAAAAAATATTATATCCGCACGGGACCACCACCTAACATGAATAAATCTACTAATTAAGGGCATACTAATGAAGAGAGTAATGAGGTATTTGAAGCATTTGTGCATGGTATCATCCAAACTAACTTATCTTTCAACTGTTGCACTTAAGGTCAATGAATTCTTCTTTTGATTCACTTGAAAACCCTAACGACTATAAAGACATGATAGTATTTGAATGCTTCAAAGAAAAACTATGAAAAAGAAAAAGAAAAAGTGAGAGAAATGAAGATGTAGTAGAAGAAAAAAATATGAATGAGGTGATAAAGATGAGACAATTAAAAACCATAAAAAACAGAGATGCGAGAAGATGGAGGCGGTAAAGGAAGGGTAAGAAGAAAAAGATGAAAAAAATGAAAAAATAAAGTAAGATGACTATTATTAGAAGATGAGGACGAATAATAATATTAAAAAATCTAATGA